CATTTGAAATTATGCTGAAAAATGAATGGATTTTTGTAAAACAAAGAACACTACAACATGAATGTATCTATTGGAAATTATTTTTGCATAAAAAACATAATTCTACCTATTTGTAAAGAATAGGTCTTTGGAGGGATTTCAGCTTTCTTTTCACTTGTGGTATGACTCAGACATGATCTAGCATCAATCTGATTGATGATGGCTGGGCAGAGATAGTTGAACTCGGATGCATTCAGTGGCACTTGGACGCCCATGCCATGAGATGTAAGCAGCTTGGATGCATTGAAACACTAAAGAAAACAAAGCAGTGAAAATCACCAAAAAGCATTCCCATTAGACACTCCAAAAACACTGTTTGATGACACAACACCCTTTCCTTACTGAAGCTAACTACTTCTTTTTTTTTAAGTTAACACTAATTCAAATCAACTTCAGTTTTGAGTACTTTGGAATTTGCCTGAAACTGCCTGGAGATACTATGTCACAATTGTGTTATCCCACCTTTCCGCCTACTTTCTTCTTGGTAGAAAACAGTCATATCACTACTTACTAAGGGAGAAAGCCTCAAGAGCAATAAACCTGAGGATAAATGAACATTCACAAGCCTGTTAACTCATTGTATAAACCTATTAAGGAAATGAGCTTTAATTTCAAGAAGGGATTCATTAGAGATTGGGACATATGTTGTCTTAGTACCAACGCTACCCTACCGGGCCTAAGCAAGTTCAAAACACATCACTCTTTCAGCAATGACCATATTTAGAAAATTTAGCTCTGTTCTGACTACATACTTGGCAAATAATGCTCTACAAGAGAATATTAAAATATGCACATTACTCTTGAGCAGGGCAAGGTTGCTAATAAAACAAACCTGTACTGACAGGCAGCTGTTTCAACAATTTAATTAGATGACTAGTTTGAAGCGAATCTTCTGAGTAATCTAAGCCCCTCTATTCCCCCTGAATTGGTGGTAGCACCTGTTTCTCATCTTCTATAAAGATATTTTAAACTCCACCAATTCTTGGTTAATACTACTCAGTACAAACTTTATTGCAGTGTCACTGTGGAAATGACCTCTAGTAGGATTATCCCAGAATTAGTACAGTCATATGATGGTTTCAATGAAGTACTTAAGTTTTACTTATTAACATATATCAACTAATTCTTTGTTCTTGACATCTTTCAGGCAAGGCAAACTGAGTCTAGTCCGGAAGTCTAGTCTAGAAAAAACACATGAACTCAGACCTTTACTGTGCAGGCATTCACTTGTCCAGTAGGTCGCTCTTGGTAGCAGTTTCAATTTCAATCACTCCACAAGTCATTACGAGCCCTCTGCCAAGCAAGTAATACTGTTCTTGCATTCTTCAGCCCCTTCAATCACACCTTTCCCTAAAATATAGATTCTAACTCCTGCATTTTCAACCTCCCCTTTTCTATTTTTTATTAATAATATTCACCTTTAAAGACTTTCTCCAAAAATAATTTAATATCTGCTTTCTATACTTATTTTAAATTCTATATTAGAAAATGTTTTTAGCAGGCAGTACTATTCTTATTATCTCCCAAGTTTTTTTTTATCAGAAATGATTACAACACAGTAGGGACGCTTTGGGCTAAGTGGCTTGCTGAGAAAGTAGAAATTCCCTTTTCAATAACTTCACCATTTTATTTTTACCTTAAACTCCTTATGACTAGAGATAGAATGGCAGTAACAGAATAGACATAGAGGCATATTGATTAAAATAAGAACAGCCTTTATCTTACCTCCTGAGTATTTTCATTTGCGTTTATGGAATATATAAAGTCTTTCCTGGGCTCACTCACAGATTCATTTGTTTTCCTCCTAGCCAGCCGGTTCACCCAGCTCTTTTCCATGATACTGGGTGGAGTAGAACTGCTCACATCTTTGGGGAGAAGTTTTCCAGGTTTTGGAGTTTCTATTGTCTCTAGAAAGTAAGTTCCTTCAGAGACAGCATTATACACAGTTGAGGTCACTTCACTAGCACCAACACCATCCTTGATTAAAACATTCCTTCTATTATTGGCATGTTCTGATCGGCGAGATCCTTTCCCCTGGTTGTTTCTAGGGTCTTTACCAGAGCTATCAGAGTCATGGTCTGGGCAAACAGCTTTCCGGTTATTTTTACCGGAAGCAGCATGATTATGGTGAGAATGATGATCATGGTCAGAGTGATGATCATGGTCAGAGTGATGATCGTGGTCAGAGTGATGCTCATGGTCATGGTGTATGTGAACTCTTTTAATCTTATCTATGCCTATATTCTGCAACAACTTTCTGAACCCTTCAACTGACAAGGAATTATTTTCTCCATAACGATGGAAAAGCTGCTGTAGATGATGTCGCTGTGTGGTCACTGCCAAATCAACATTAATGCCAGATTCCCAGTTTGGAATAATTTTCTCAGTGGTCTGAGGGAAAGCAGTCGCTGGTTCTACTTCATGAAGGGGATTTGTGACTGACAGAGTGAAGGTCAAGATGAAGATTACAGTTAAACTCCTCGCCATTGCTCCTTCCTACAGAAGACAGAAAAAGAAATTTTGCCTTCATTTCTAAAATAGTTTGAATTAAGAAATCTCATGCTGAACACTGATATCTAATCAAACAATCAAGGTTTACAGTGCATCATTTAGTGTGATCAATGCAGTGTAAGGTACTGTGAAAACACAGAAACAAGAGTCCCACGCTCTACCCTTGCATTGCTAAAACAGGTGAAACAATTGGAGAACTGTTGAGTGTTAAGAGAGTCTGTAATTAGCACTATAAAAGCAAGAGCAATTCAGACAATGGAGAGGTCCTGTGGCCACAGCCATATTGACAACTTCCTATTGTGTTGAGAACAAGGATTTAAAATAAAACAAAACATACCTCTACCACCATCATGATCGTCATCATTTCATAAAACAATATTTTAACATCAAAAGGAATAAATATGGCAATCTCAGAATTCACATTTAAATTCAATTTCTTCTTAAACTACATACAAATCAATTTAAGGCTTCTCCCCCCCCCACCATACTACTCTAAAGTCACCCAATTTTGCCAGTTTGTGCATGCTTCAGGATATTTTCTACTCATACTCAAGTAGATGTGTACTCAAACCACACAAATGGGATCTTTTTCCCTACTCAGAAATGACACCTTTCCATGTCAGTACATATATGTTGATTTCATGCTTTTGAATGACTACATTAATAACAGTTCCTTAAGTAAATTAAAGGTCATAAAAAAAACCCTCTATCATTCTTATGTTGCTATAAATCAGTGAAAATTTTATCACTGACCATCACTCATCCAGACAATGGTGTTTGGAGTTAGGAAATGCAGAACTGAGCGTGGCACAGCAGAATCCAGTTAAGCCGAGGAATGCATAGTCCAAGTACGTGGATGGACTGGTGTCTCAGGACCCACAAGTCCAGTCGTCACAAAACTCACCTGCCTCCAGCGAAAGAAACAGAGGTGGTGTTTCTGGAGCGAGAGAGCGAGGGCATGGGACACCCCAGCTCTACCACTTTCAACTGTTCTTTCTCGCACCAGGAAAAGCTGGCAATAACTATTTACAGGGTGACTGAAGAAACTACATGACCGGTATATACAGAAATGCTCCAAACAATGTTAGCAGTGTTGCACGGGTGGAGTAGGGCTGCTCCATCCTGGGAGCAGTTTTTATCATACTGGGAGAAGTGAAAATGAAAGTATGTATGTACCATAGGGCTAGGTTCCTTAAAGAACAATCTTTGGCACCTGGAGTTTTAATAGGCAAACGAGAACTATTAAGAAATCAATTGCAGGATGGAGAGAGGCAAGGAGCTCGATGGGTTGGGACAAGCACAGACGGAATCCTCCGTGCCTTCCTCCAGGGAGGATGCTTAAGGCTGTCGCGGTCCCACGGGCGGACCTCTTTCCCCGTAAGTCCTCGGCTGTTGTTGGAAAACAAAGCCTAACGAAAGGGCCTGAAGAAGGAGAGTGAAGAAAAAGGAAAAGAGGGCACACCACTGCTTGTAAGGGCTGTTTATTTTTAAACACGACTCTACCTTCACATAGTAGATGAATAATGCCGTTTCCTCAGAAAGTCCTCCTTTGAAGTCTGAAGCCCATCTGTGCACCCCAAACTGGAAAGTGCAGCCTTCACGGCCCGTGGGGTTCCCCTCGCTACAGCCCCCGCCCGGCCCCGCGGGACTCACCTCTCCGCGGCCTCGCAGTCCCACGGCCCGGCCCGCGCACAGGTTCAGTTCCCGCAGGCGATCGGGAGGGCTCGGAACCGGCCCGTGCTTTTCTTCTCTCAAAAACTCTACAAGGCACAAAGAAGGGGCGATCTCATCGGCCCGGATGCCCCTCGGTCCGGGTTCCGCCGCACAGCCACCAGGAATCCGCGCCTCACGCGCCCTCGCCTCGCTGGAGCAGGACAATTACTAATTACCGCCGCGCGCAGCGCGCGGCCGGGAACCACCGCCTCCGCCGGCCCAGACTGCAGGACATGCGCAGTGCGGTTCAGACCCCCGTCCGCCGCCAGTGGATCTGTGTGGACGCCTATTCGCCGGCGCCGCGGGGCTCCAAGGGGCGGGAGGGGTCGAAGGCACGGCCCGAGCGGACTAAGAGCGCCGAGACTAACTGGGTACCTTTTCCTCGAGTCCTCCGCGCCCCTACGCAACGGAGACCCGAGACTCTCTTGCAAAGGCTCTCGCCTGGGCCAACCCCGTCCGCTCGGGCACGGGCGTGTAGGAGCCCTGGCGTGTCGGACCCGGGCGTGAGGGGCAGCGGGACGTTTCTCAGGCTGCCCCCGCACTTTAGCCACGGGTGTTTCTATAAGGTCCTGGGCTACTCGGGTCGGGTCTTGGTCCTTGGGACGGCGGCCGTGTTTGTCCGCTGGGTCGCGGTACAGAAGACAGGAGCTGGCAGTGGCGGCCCAAACCAGAGGATCACTAGACCCGGGGCCGAGAAGCCGGGCCGGGGGGCGGGGCACTTAGCGCCCCGCCACTCCGGCTGCTTCCGAAACGCGGTGAGGAATCGGCCAGCTGGGGAGGCGGCCTCGCGAGTAGTTCCGCTCACAGGGCGGAAGTGTGCGCCCGGGTCTCGGCCGCTGACCAGCCAGCAACATGGTGGCATCCGTGCTGGAGACATCTCACGTGTTTTGCTGCCCAAACCGGGTGCGGGGAGCCCTGAGCTGGAGCTCCGGGCCCGGAGGACTTCTAGCCTTCGGCACGTCCTGTTCCGTAGTGCTCTATGACTCTTGGGTAAGAGAGGTGGCCCGACGCCAGACCCCGTGGGGCTGAATCAACTGGGTGCTCTCCTGCGGGAGTGAAGGCGCTGCGCCGGAGCGAGGACGCTGGGTGTGCGGTCTGGTCCGCTTGGGGGAGGTATCTAGGCCAGGACTCTTCCCGTTGGCACGCCAGACTCGCTCCTCGAGCTCTCGCGTGCTCCGTCACCCTGGGGTCGCCAAATCCCACCAGTGACCTGTTAACCTCATGTAGATGCCCGAATGATGATAACCTTCTCTGAAGCTTTCTGTGACAATTAACTGTATGTAGTACTGTTAAAAATACAGTTTGGGTTTTGAAAGATTTGAGGTTTAGGTATGGATCTAATACATTATCACAGGTGCTATCTTATTTCTGTATTTCACCCAGTATTTTATAAACTTTGTGTTGATTAAAAAAATACATCGCTTATATTTTAGCCTTGGAATTGGATGTTTTAAAGAAAGTGCCATTGGGGTAAAGGTCATAGGGGATAGGGATCCTAAGCACTAGTTATGAGGCAGGACTTAACCCATTCCCTGAGCTTCACCCAATTGATTTTATTATTTGGCTCTTTCCCTGTCAAACTTCATGGCCAGTTTTTGCATGCTTCTCAGAGTTCGTTTTGCCCCCATTCCCACTGGTTAATTTTGGACAATACAGTTAATGTTTCTCAAGAAGAACCTCAGTATAAAAAGGTAAAGTGCAGGAAATTGAAATGCAGTGCGGGAGCTAGCTTTATGTATTTCTTGTACTGCTTTATTAATTTGATTAAAAATTCCATTATCCTCACACCCTTTGCGGATTCAGATTTATATAGGAAATAGTTGTATTAGCTTACTGTATCTTGAGCTTGCTTGCCTCCTTCCAGTTTTTGTCTTTTACAGCTCTGCACTCTTAACTGGCAAGAAAAAACACATGACACCAAGAGTAAATTTTACAGCGGCCATCAAACAAGCACTGACTCAGCTGTGGAAACCTGTCTTTCTGCAGCTATTTAGTGGATTTGTACCATGCCTTACATCACATTTTTATTTTTAGTGATATTCTGGTGGCCAGGTTAGGAGAGTTTAACCTATCAAAAAAGAAATGTATTGAGCCTAAAAATTTTAGTACTTTGTTTTGTTACGTTATTTGCTGGTTGGACATTTAATTAAATGTGGGACTAAGAGCATGGAGATGCTAAAATAAAGTTTTGGGGGTGATGTTCAGTCAGCGAATTTTTGAGGACCCTCCATGGGCCAGCCCTGGACTGGTGGTAATGACACAAAGATAATGGGTAATAAGTACTCCTGCCCATTAAGGAATTCCCAGTCTAGTGAGAGAGAAACCTATAAATTGTTTCCCAGCCTCAAATAACTTGTGTCTGAAATATATTAGTTTATGCACACTTACCTCTGTGTACCTTTTTCTCAGCCATGAGAATCCTAGTTGGCATATAAGTGGATATTAAGCCTGTACAGTTGGCAATAGATAGAGAAAGAGTCTGTAAAGAAGAAGGCACTATAATCACAGAGTTAACGTCTTCAGCAGTGGGCAAAGTAACGAGAGCCCAAGTGTGGAGTGTTGTTGGTAAAAGCAGCAGTGCGAAGAAATCTGATGTCTGAAGACCTTAGTCGTTGTGGCTTGGTGGTGACCTTGTGTTATTACAGTTCAAGAACCCAACACCTGATTAGCCATGACACGCAAAGTGAGCCATGAATTTGTATGCATTAAATATGAATTCCACTATAGAAAGTTTTTTGTCTTTTTTTTGGTCAACAAAACTCTCAAATTGGTGCAAGCATGATAGAATTAAGACCCTGAGACCGAGACCTGTGGGAGCTCAAGAAAGAAGGGGTTCCTTATTTAGTCCGGGATGTCAAGACAGGCTCCCTGGATGAGAGCAGGAGTGGGAAGAGGGTGGGGGTGGTGAGCAGGAGTTAGGCAGATGAAGACCTGAGAGCTCAGTGTGATGAGAGCACACAGCACTGGAAATACGGAGTGGTGAAAAGAATGAAATAGAGTGAACAGATAGTTTAAGCATGATTACAAGTTTATAAATTAAGGAAGGTGATTCTGTTTGAAATAATCCTGAACATTTTAGCATGAAAACCACTGAAATCTGATTTTTTATTTCCTCTGTAAGGTAGATTCTAATTTACTAACTGGTGTTTTCTTTGTTAAAGAAAAGGGTTGTTATTACCAACTTGAATGGTCACACTGCTCGAGTCAATTGCGTACAGTGGATTTGTAAACAGGATGGCTGTAAGTATTAATCTGATTGTAAAAGCTGATCTCAATTGTTTTCTGATAAAGTATGACTAGTCATTTTTCTTTCATCACTTCTATTACCTTACCAAGCTTATCTGATACTAAGCAATTGGAAAATAGAAGAAAAATGGTATGCCCAGTGAAATCTCTGGCCTGCACTTTTACTTTATAGCAATTGAAGCACGGATACCTCCGCAGAGCTTAGAATGAGAATAGAGCCCTGACTCTGGCAAGATTGCCACCATTGCTCAGAGCTTCTGCTCAAAGCCTGTAAGCAGGACCCGTCTTGGGCCCAGGCTGGGACTCTGAAGATTTGGCTTGTGGGACTGTTTCTGCCACAGAGAAGCTATTGTTTTTTAGGCAGGACGTCACATGTTTTGTTTACCCCAGTTTGCACCTTCCTAACATCTGAAAAGTGAAGGCTTGGAGTGGATCAGGGGACCCTTAGAGGTTTGTGATACCTGGGAGGTCAAAATTATTTTCAGAATAATACCAAGAGATTATTCACAGTTTTCATTCTCATTCTATTACAGTTATACAGTGGCACTTTCCAGCAGATTCATGATGTGTGATATTGCAACAGATTAAATACAGAAACAGGAAAATCCAGCTGTAGTTTAATAAAGTTAGGTATTAAAGAGATTTTCAGTAATGTGAAACAGTGCCTCTCATTAATTTTTAGGAAAATAAAGGGTTTTCCCTCACTGTAAAATGTTATTTTTGTTAACATGTAATGATGTTTGTTATTTTTAAATGAACTGATAAGTAGTTTTCAAGTTTCTCAGTTTAAATTTCTAATGTGTTTAAGGTTGGTATATATAGTCAACCTTATAAACAAAAGCTTTATGGGGTCCTCAAAAATTTTTAAGAGCATAATGGAGTCCTGACACCAAACAATTTGAAATTTGCTGGGCTAGATCATCCCCAGGTCTCTTTTTATTTCTAAGATTCTGTGACTCCAGAGTGTTTGATTAACATACTGCTTTCAGAAGTTGCTACCAAAATTCTGTGGAATTTCCCCAAATGTCTTAAATATACCTACTGTAGTTTTATTATGGACTTTGAATTAATTTCATTTTTTATTCCATAAACATTTTTTCATGTATTTTATTGATTATGCTATTAGAGTTGTCCCAGTTTTTCACTTTTAGCCCCCTCACCCGGTACCCCCAATTGTCTCTGGCAGTCTGCTCCCCCCACCTTTAGGTCATGTCCATGGGTCATACACATAAGTTCTTTGGCTACTCCATCTCCTATACTGTTTTTAACATCCCCTTGTCTATTCTGTACCTACCAGTTATGCTTCTTAATCCCAGTACCTTTTCCCCCATTATCTCCCTTTCCTCTCCCAACTCATAATCCTCCAAATGATCTCCGTATCTATGATTCTGTTTCTTTTCTGCTTGTTTGCTTAGTTTGTGTTTTAGGTTCAATTGTTGACCATTGTGAATTTATTGCCATTTTAATGTTCATTGTTTTGGTTTTTTTTTTCCTTTATAAGGTCTTTTAGCATTTCATATAATAATGGCTTAGTGATGATGAATGCCTTTAGCTTTACCTTGTCTGGGAAGCACTTATCTGCCCTTCAACTCTAAATGACATCTTTGCTGGATAAGGTAATCTAGGTTGTAGGTCTTTGCTTTTTATCACTTTGAATACTTTTTGCCAATCCCTTCTAGCCTGTAAAGTTTCTTTTGAGAGATCAGCTGACAGTGTTATGGGAACCCCTTTGTATATAACTATCTGCTTTTCTCTTGCTGCTTTTAAGAATCTCTCTTTATCTTTATCCTTTGGCATTTTAATTATGATGTGTCTTGGTGTGATCCTCTCTGTGTTCATTTTCTTTGAGACTTTCTGTGCTTCCTGGACTTGTATGTCTATTTCCTTCAATAAATTAGGGAAGTTTTCTTTCATTATTTTTTCAAATAAGTTTCCAATTTTTTGCTCTTCCTCTTCTCTTTCCGGCACCCTTATGATTGAAATGTTGGTATATTTGAAGTTGTCCCAGAGGCTCCTTAGCCTATCCTTATTTTGGGGATGGGGGGGGGGGAATTCTTTTTTCTTCTTGCTGTTTTGATTGAATGTTTTTTCCTTCCTTATGTTCCAGATTGTCAGTTTGATTCTTGGCTTCATCCATTCCACTGTTGGTTTCCTGTAAATTTTTCTTTATTTCACTTTATTTCACTTGGTGTAATGTTCATTTCTGCCTGGGTCTTTTTTATGTTGTTGCTGTACTCAGTGAGTTCCTTGAGCATCCTGATAACCAGTGTTTTGAACTCTGCATCTGATATTGCTTATCTCCATTTTGTTTAGTTCTTTTTTTGGAGTTTTGTTCTGTTCTTTCATTTGGGCCATATTTCTTTGTCTCCTCATTTTGGCAGCCTCCCTGTGTTTGCCTCAAGGCATTAGGTAGAGCTGGTTTAACTTCTTGTCTTAGTAGAGTGGTCTATTGTAGAAATTGCTCATTGGTAAGTTGGCTGGGGTGGAACCTTAATTGCCAGGGCAGGGCAACGTGAGTGAGCCAGGTATTGGAGTCTCTGATGCTCTGTGGCTCTGTGTCGGGGAGGGCTCAGAAAGGGGTCAGTGCTGCTGCCTGGCCTCTGGAGTTTTGTCCAGGAGGAAGCTGTCCCCCATCACTCACCTTGATGTCAGACACTTCAGTTTTTGCCCATATACTACTGTTGCCCTTCACCTGCTGCCTTGGTGCTGCAACCCAGAGGGAGTGAGTCTGCATAAGTCCTAAGTCTGTTGTGGGTCCTCGAAGAGAAGACTCTTGAGAGTCCTGCTGTTTCTTCTGCTACCCCAACCCCCACTGGTTTTTACAGATAGAAGTTAGGGGGACTTATCTTCCTGGCACTTGAACACTATGCTGCGTGGTCTGGTTTGAGGCTTGGATACCTTGTTCCCGAGGTATCCCTCCTGATTTTTATCTACCACATGTGGATATGGGACCTCCCATTCTGTGTCTCTGCGTCTCTGTCCCCCCTACCCTTTGGATGAATATGACTTATTTAATTCCATGGTTGTCAGACTTCCATACAGCTCAGTTTTCTGATGATTCTGGGTGATAGTTGTTTTGTAGTTTAGTTGTAATTTTTGTGGTTGTGCAAGGAGGCGAGGCATGTTTACTTATCCTCAATCTTGACTCGAAGTCCCCATGAACATTTATTAAGAGCATTCTGAGCTAGGTACAAATGCAGGATTTCCTGAATTAGTGAGACTCTGGTATGATTTTATCTGTGGCATTAAAAGAAGTTGAATAAGCTACTTATTTCAGTTAGTAATGCAGTTAGTGACATTAGGTCAGTAGAAACTGTTAGACAGTAGAGAGTGGCTGTTAGTACAGATATTAAAACATAATTGTAATTTTATTAATTGCCACCAAATGACATCACAGACTACTTAAATATCAGTATAGAGATTCATTATAAAATATTAATTTGTGCTTGTATATTTTATTTTCCCTTTAAAAGTGAGGTTACATAAAGCAAATTGCTTGTACATCACTAGTTTTAACTATTAGGATTGATTTCCTCTAAGAATAGGACTCTGCCACCAGATATTTTAGCTATTCTCTCTAACCTATGTATCAGGTACATTGTAGTAATTCTCAAAGTCACGTAGTTAGATAAATGGCTTAATTTCTCTGATGCATAAAGAAATTAAATCCCAAGGTCACGGCTGTCTGACAGCAGGGTTAGGATGAGAACCTGGGATTTCTGAGTTCCTATCTAATGCTTCGGACAGTCCCCAGCTGCTGCTAAATGTCTGGCACATAGGCCAGAAGAAACAAATAAATAGCAAATTCAAACCAAAATTATATATTATTTCCCCCTTTTAAAAAAATCTAGATTGAGCCCTGGCTTGTGTGGTTCGGTGGATTGCGCACCGGCCTGCCAAGCAAAGGGTCACCCATTTGATTCCCAGTCAGGGCACATACCTGGATTCCCAGTAGGGGGCGTGCCAGAGCCAACCACACATTGATGTTTCTCTTCCCCTCTCCTTTTCCCTCTGTCTAAAAATAAATAAATAAATAACTTCTGAAAAAAGTTATTTGAAAAAAGTCTAGATTGAGGGACATTCTGTAAAACAACTGGCTGTGATGCGCATTATCACACAAAAAGAAGGGAGTAGGAAACTATTCTATGTTAAAGGAGACTGAAAAAGATGACAACTACGTACGCAATATGTGGTCACTATATTCTGAATTTAAAAAGGGTTATAAAAGACATTACTGGGACAATTTGGAGAAATTTTTTCTGTATTATATCAAGATACTGTATCACTGTTAAAATTCTTGAATGTGATAACTGTATTGTGGTAATGTAGGGGAATGTTCCATTTCTTAAGAGATCCATAGCAGAGTGTTCGAGGATCAGACATCCTGAAGTCTGCAACTTATTTTAAGTAATTGTCAGAAAAAAAAGGGGGTCTGTGTATACACAGGGTGGTGCAAAAGTAGGTTTACAGTTGTTTCTATGGAAAAATAATACAATAATTAATACAAAAATATGTCTCGCATACAACTGTAAACCTACTTTTGTCCCACTCTGTACATTTACCGAGAGCAAATTATTTAGCAAATATGGCAGAATGTTAACAGTTGGTGAATCTAGGTATATGGAGATCTAGGTATATCTTTTCTATAGCTTTGAAGTTTTTCAAAATAGCTGGTAAAAAAATAAAAATATTTACTGAGATATAATTTTTTACAGCTCCTTCTACTGAATTAATTTCTGGAGGATCTGATAGTCAAGTGATTCATTGGGAATTAGAGAACAATCAGGTGGGTAGACACATTTATAGTTATAAGAAATGGCTATTATATCCACTTTTATTTTCAATTTTTTCCTCCTTTCTGTTGTGTTCTTCCTTTATGAAGTTGCCTCATTCTTGCTTATCAGTAATTCAGATCCTTTGTTTTCTGTACTTCACAGCCCTATACCCATCCCTCTAAAATTTGCTCCCATATTCATATGCTATCAGTCATTTTTGTGAGTTTCTGATTATTTTGAAATAATTTTCAAGCTGTTCTTACATGGACTGTTTGATCCATTTTCAGAAATAACAAAAATTAATACTGTTGTGTTCATAGGATAGCTGTTGTCATGTGGATATAAATTTACATAATTGAGCGATGTTATAACATGCAGTGCCGGGTAGGGATGGACCTTTATTTATGGACATTTAGGTTGTTTCTAGTTGTAAGAAAAGATTAAAAGTTAAATGTTAGTACACTAGATATTTGTACCTCTGCCATACTGAAAATGAAGATGAGACAAAATCCTATTCATGAAATGTACAGAATTTGAAGACAAAATGTACTTGAATAAAGTGCAATACAAGGTAGGTGCTCTAACTTGCTGTCCCACAACTATGGTGTAGTGAGTTCAGAAGAGATTTTTAAGAGGTGGCCTTGAGTTGGTTCTTAAAGTGTGAGATGATTTCTTTTGGAGGAGATAAAGGGTTAAGAATTCTTAGTAGGAAAAATAGCATGAATAAAAAAAAGCTCAGGTGAGAAAACAGAGCACCTGCTCAGGAGTATCTGGTTTTAAGCAAAGCCTAAAATGTCTTTAAGGCTTTCTAAAATGTGTTCAGAGAATTATTCATCCCTAAATTCCATGAAAAAAGGAATCTCTGACCAATCAAATTTGGGAAACACTGTATATCATACACGTCTCTCAGAGAATCCCAGCACACACGAGCATAATGAGGGCTCCGAAAAGTTCTTTTGTGGATGAACCTGCTTATCTTTGTTGAACTTACATTTCCCAAAATTGTTTCAAGTCTGAACTTTTTTCTTTTAAATCTCTTAGCAGCCCTCATAACTTTGAGGATCACAGTTTTGGAAATGTTTCTAGATAATACATTGTGGGCAGCAATTTTAGATAAGCAGAATAGGAGATGATCCTATGGGAATTTGAACACTTGCTTTAAGAGTTTGTTCCTTATTAGCAGGCATTTGGAAGTCATTGATGATTTCTAAGAAGAGAAGTATGAATATCAAAAGATTAATCTGACAGCCATGTGACAAATTAAAAACTGGAAAAAATGTGAAGGAAGGGTTTTTTTTAAGGATTTTTTTATTTACTTTTTTTATTTGAGGGAGAGAGAGAGTGGGGAAAGGAGAGAGAGAAGAAGAGAAACATCAATGTGTAAGAGATACATAGTTGTCTATACATAGTTGTCTATCGCATGCCCCGGAGTAGGGATCTGGCCTGCAACCAAGGCAGGTGCCCTGACTGGGAATCAAACTGGTGACCTTTCATTTTGCAGGCTGGCGCTCAATCCACTGAGCCACACCAGCCAGGGCTGGGATGTAATTTTGAAGGAAGAATGATTTTGGTATTAATGACATAGTTATCAAAGGAGTAGTGAGCTGGTGATTAGGGGAGTGAGTAACCAGAGATGGTGGGGTTGTGTCTTGAGGCCCTGGAGAAAGGTGCTTCTACAAAGGAAATAGGCAAGTAGGAGGGAAGACATGGATTTCATGTAGACATGTCATTTAAATTACCAGGCACCCAGACTTGTCCTCTGCAGGCTGGGAAGTGGGGATTTTGGAGCCACATAGACTTGAATGAGAGCAAAAAGATATGTAGCAAACTTAACTCCTGTTTCGAAAGGCTTTGGCAGGGGAATCCAGAGAGGGTAATTTTAGCATTCACTTTTGAAACCTCGAGGTGAGACAGCAAGATTCTTTTTCTCAGTGCTTCCCCAAACTTCTGTCAGGAGAGAGGACTGCAGGCTAAGCAAGTATCTGATGGCAGACAGCAAGCTTAGCTTGAGAGGGGCCAGAGGAGTGAAACAAAACAGGGAAGAGAGGAGAATCAATGGTGTAAGGAGAGATGAGGGAATAAGAGGAAAGGGCCACACATTGTAACCTTAGGGACTTAAAGGTTGTTTTCCATATGCATTTCCATGTACACAGGTGCTCAACACACCTTGACTTATGATAACAGGAAATAATTCTAAGCTGGTATAATGAGAGTTTCAAGTTTGTGAACAGTGAGCATTGTCTTTTAAAATGCTGGTGAACTTGAGAGATTTCTTTTGTTTAATTTTGATGGTTGAAATACAATTCTGCTTAAAGATGTGAAGTATTTTCAATAGATTTAATTTTTTAAGGTATAATGATACAGAATCATTTAAAAAATTTATAGGAAAATATAAAAATATATATAAAATGTCAACAAAGTTAATATTCTAATGAACATTGTCCAGATCTATAGTTACATATGTATAATTAGACGTACCATATTTGAGTTACTTAAAATGTTTTTTCAAAGAAGACAGAGGTTAATGATGAAAGGAAGTTAGTGTATAAACCCTGATGCGTAACTGTTAATTACTTTCTGGCAGAGTTCTGCCTAAGTAATTGGAAAAACAGTTGAAGAGACACTTAAGGAACAGAAGACAATTTATAGAAGATATCTCTCAAAGGAAGTGGTGCAATCTCATACATTTCAGAAGTCTAAGAAATACACCTAAAATAGCAGAAATGATGCCACAGTAAAGAATCTTGCAGGGCAAGCACGTGGACTTGATAAATGGATTACCAATTCTGTTTGCCATTTTTCCATTTTATAGCCTTGATTGATTCAGGCAAGATCATAAGGGGATGCTAAAAATACTTGGTAGCCGTTTGATGGAGAATAGAATATTTAACCCCAAAGTATAATCTCATATATTATCAACCAAAAAAATTTAACTTCACAGTGAAAAAAATCTGTCAGACACTACCTTTACTAGGATCTAAAGGTTAACTTCATTAAAATTGGGACAAACTGACATCTTATGATGTAATGCACTTAGGTAGTAATGATGTCAAAATGTATATCCTGAATCTGTTCATGAGAAAACAGACTAATCCAAAAAGGAACATTCTACAAAGCTGGCCTATGTTCTTCAAAAATATCAATGTCATGGATGCCTTTCCATGGTAATAATCATACATTTCTCTATATTATCCTTTTTATTGACTACAGTGTATGCCTACAATAATTAATTTAATCAGTTCCCTCTTAATAATTTTTGGTTGATTTTTTTTTTACTATTATAAAGAGTGTGTGATCGAGGCCTGCATCTTCCACCAAAAACAATAAAAAATTTAAAAAAGTGTATGATAAATATCCTGCATTTGTCTTTTGTTATTTGTTACACTATTGCTATTAGCGCCTAAGAGTAGATTCTTAGATGTGAGATTACTGTGTCAAGGGTATGCACATTTTATATGTCATTAATATGGTCAGACAGACTTCTCCGAAGTTTACATTCTCATCAATTGAAGGGACCTATTTCTGAGTCACAAATTTTAACAGTACCATTAATCCTATGATTCCAGTTAAATGTAGATGACTGTTTCATCATAATTTTTTTGTCATTTTTTTCTCATTCAGCTTTTAAAAGCTGTCCATCTCCATGGCCATGAGGGACCTGTTTATGCAGTGCATGCTGTTTACCAGAGGAGGGCATCAGATGTTGCATTACATACACTGATCGCTTCTGCAGCTTCCGATTCCACTGTTCGAATCTGGTCTAAAGAGGGTTCAGAAGGTATGTTTAGAGGCATTATAATCCAAACCAATGAAATAGTAATTATCAAATGAATGACAGCCAGAGGAGCAGACATATAATTAAATTTTTAGTCTTTCAAGCAGCTTTAAAAACATTGTAATTCTAATCTAAATGTTTATAGTTTTTATACTTCTTCAAAATTCCTTATATCAAATTATGTGTTAATGTAAATTTCCTCAGCCAAGGTTGTCAAGCTTGTGGGCCGCATGTGGCCCAGGATGACTTATGAATGTGGCTCAACACAAAACCATAAATTTATTTAAAACCTTTTTTTTGCTCATCAGTTTTTGTTAGTATTTGTGTGTTTAATGTGTGGCTCAAGACAACTCTTATTCTTCCAGTGTGTCCCAGAGACACCAAAAGGTTGGACACCTTGCCCCTTTTCATATAAGTAATTTTGTTCTCTGTAACCTTGTTATACATTGACCATTTAAGTTCAGATAGTCAGTAGGGGCTCAGGATTGACTTCTGTTGTCTCCCTGCTGATGTGATGATGCTACCCAGCCTTTCTCGGTAGATAAGCTCAGAGTTAGTTATTCGTGGTGTTTTTCATTATTTTTTAGTAACATGCCTTCAGACCTTGAACGTGGGAAATGGATTCACTCTGGCTATCTGCTTATCTTTTTTGCCTAATACTGATGGTGAGTATCCTGTTAAGTTCATATTAAAAGAGCATTCTATATTTTTATATCTCCATATGAGCAGAACCTAAAAGAAACATACTGAGTTTCAATTTTGTATCTAAATTTTTTCATGAAAAGGTCAAGACCTAGGTAATACACATTTGTTTTCAATATTCAAATGATCTCAGCATAGAACATAAGAGTAAGGAAGGCTGTTAGGAACTTTGGTTGTTGATTAAAATCTACCCCAATAAATCCAATTAAAAAAATTAAATGAGTTAAAATATAATCAAGATTGAAACTGCTGTTTATCATACACAGGGTCCAGCAGAAGTAATGCCTATTTGAGTGTGGTTGGTAGGGTAATAATATGGGTGTAATAACTTACAGTTTTAATTTGAACATTTCCCCTAAAATGTCGTGTGGTGTGCTTGAGTGTGATACTGTTATGTTACAGAATTACATGCTCGTGATTTTGTAATAAAAGAGTTTGTAATAAAAAGGGGGTGTTATTTGTGCCAGTCCCTGAATGTTGTTGATGTATGTAGATCTAATGTAGGAAAATTGTCTAACTCTTCAGAAGGCGAAGGTCTGGGATAAGTTGAAAAAGTACTGAAGATGGACCATGAACATTTTGTTCAGGAGAACAGCCCCCTTACGTCCTACATGATGACATTTTTGCCTCTTTTACCTCTTTTGCTGTGAAACCCACCTGTCCCTCTCTTTGATTATCCTTCACAAAGATGATAACCAGTGTGAGTCAGTCTCTGTGCCTCCTCAGTAATCTGGAGGACAGGCCTGATTGGAGCGAGAGAGGAAGCTACCAGCCTCTTGCTTTTTGGGGCAGGAGCTGCAACTTCATGGTTTCCTGTAATGCCTCCACTTTGTGCGAGGGCTCCCTCAGAGAAGGAACTCATACATTCTGGTTTCATAACTGGATTTAATTTCTTTCCATATACCTCAAGGCTAAGTGACTGGAGTTTATTATTTTTGTTTTTAGTGCATTTAAGGTTGAAAATCTTTGAAAAACCCACTGGGTTGCAAGGCGTTTCCTTAGAAAAAGAATTCCTATTTTATTTTGCTCTACAGTCATTATGGCTCTCCTTTGGTAATGTAAATTAGTTTTTTGTGCTATTAAAGAGAACCAATTTTACAGTTGCAATTTGCATAGCTTTTAATCTACACATTTACTTACATGCTCTTTTATGTGGTTTTCTAATTGCTTCAGGAATTTTGTTTTACTATTGAATTCTCAAACAAAATATAAGGTCCTTAAAGTAACAAACATACCATTACACCTTTGTGCAGTTACCATGATGCCAGGCTCATAGTAGCTCTTCCATTTTATTATTCAGTTGGGCTGAATTTTCATATTAGTTGTCTGGCTGACAGTGAAAGTGATCCCAGCTTGCTCTTGAGCTTCCCTTTTCACTGTTCCTTCTATCATAAAAATACATCTAACAGAGAAAAATAGTCCATCAGTAGTCATTCATTACCAGGTATCCAGTTAATAGAACATTTTAGAGTGTTCACTTGATTCCTGTAGATATTTATTGAGCATTTTCAGTTTATTCAGTGATGTGAGAAATAGAAGTCAAGGTTCTCTATTTAGAGTTTAGAATCCAGCATAGGTGATAATCATAACATATAATGGAATACTTAACAGTGAAAGCGTCTTTTTTCCCCGCAGTACCAATATTAGCATGTGGCGATGATGACTGCAAAATCCGCTTATTTGTTCAACAAAATGACCAGGTAATTAATGATGTTCATTAAGGGACTGGTATTAGCTTCTGCTTAATTACATTTTTTAATATAGACTATTTCGAGATTATAGAGTTTTAGGAATGTTCTCATCTAAACCAAAATAAATCAAGAGGAATATTTTTTTACAATTCTTTGTTAAATGATTTCCTACTCTGAACACCAAGCAACTGCTTCCTTAACTATCAGGTCCAGAATTATTAGGGAGAAACAGGTCCTTAGGTGGGGGAAGGAGAGAAGGAAGATACTGTGGTAGTGTTTTTTCTTTAAAATTTTAAATGACAGGTATTATACCTACAGTCTCTGGTATAGTGTTTGTTTGTCCTTCTGAGTTTTATGTACACTGTGAGTGGTTAAACTGGGGGAAGGAATTTCTAGAAAGGGGATTGGTTAACTCTAGGCTCATTTATTTGAAAATGGAGATAATTGTTTCTTTGCATTGTGTAAGACAGTTTAAAATGGTTGTGAATGTCCAACTGCCCAATTTTTATCTGTGTTACATCATAGCAGATACCATTCTAATTTGTAAACATTTAGAGTATTTGACATCTACAAATACGGCCTACTCAGCATTACTCAATTAGATGACTGAGACTTTTCATATGAGACCTCCATCTAATGTCTAATCAGATGTTCTCAGTTTAAAAAAAAAAAGATTCAGTAGGACTGGCTAAGACCAAATGAAATCAATGATATCCATGAAAATATTAAATTCTTACACCAAACCTGATGATTTTTGTCTTACCAGTTTCAGAAAGTGCTTGTTCTTTGTGGACATGAGGATTGGATAAGAGGCGTGGAATGGGCAGCCTTTGGTCAGTATGAAATTTTGCTGAAATACATGTGATAGGGACAAGTGTGTATAACTTCTAAGAAAGCAGCCTCCTATATTTTAATTTTAAACATTTGTCCCCATTAGAAAAGAGGATACTTATCCCTTCTAATAACTATTAATTGGGGTGGTAGAAGATGAAACAAGTTGATCTTTAAAAGAGGACATGAGCTGACTATTCTACATGCAGGCATTCTTGAGAAGCTCTTTGAAGATCTGCGTAGACTGTATATGGGAAAACCACGTGGTACAACCATTTATTAGCATTGCATACATATTTGTCAGTGCTAGTAAAACTGAATATAGGTCCAATGTAAGAAGGGTAAGGAAGCAAAGTCTATTTTTTCCCCCAGGAAATCTAGAAACATGTATTATAGAGAAGCAGGTCTTATACCTTAATTTAAGAATATAGTGTTAGAAAAATAATAAATTTTGTTTTTCAATTAGGTAGAGATCTTTTCCTAGCAAGCTGTTCCCAAGATTACTTGATACGAGTATGGAAGCTGTATATAAAATCGACATCATTAGAAACTCAGGATGATGATAATATAAGACTGAAGGAAAGTACTTTTGCTGTGGAAAATGAAAGTGAGTAATAATGAAAATACTTGGTATTACTAATACTTAGGTCTGCTAGCTGATTCATTCATATTTCACTTTATACCTATGTGAAGATTTGTTTTTCAGAAGTATCAGAGCCCTACATGAAATTTGATACTATGCATTTTCCCTTTTTTTATTTTTATGGAATAGAGTTATTTTTGATATAAGAAACTTATTTTTCTTCAAAACCATATTAGTGAGAGTTTTAAAAATTGGCTGAAAAATATATATATATTTTTTAATCTTCACCTGAGGTTATGTTTATTGATTAGAGAGAGAGAGAGAGAGAGAGAGAGAACACCAATGGGAGAGAGAAACATTGGCTGGTTGCCTCTTGTACGTGCTCCCACCAGGGATCGAACCTGCAGCCTTTTGGTGTATGGGGTGACACTCCAACCAACTTAGCCATCTGGCCAGGGCAACTGAAAATATTTTTAATGTTTTTTCAATAAATTGTATAATGTTACTAAATTTGTAATTTTAGCATAGAACGATCTAAAGAAATAATGTTAATTATTCATACCTTCATTGGAAAATATTTTACAAGACAAGCTAAATCCCTTCAAGTAGTGTGTAATCCTGATTTTCTTATTGTCTGGCATCAGAACAACACCCCTGCGTGAGGACTTGATTCTGTTGAATAATTTTTGGATATGTATCTAATCGTAAAGTTAGTTCTCAGTGAACATTGTTCCCCCAAGAATTCTCTTTTTTGTCATTACTCTTCTTGGTTATAAAACCTATAAGAGTTGAGATTTTGGTAACAGTTTTATGGGGGGAACCCAGAAATAACCAGTATCTTATGAGTAGCTATTCCCAAACTTGAAATTTTTTGTGATATTTTTATTAACTATTTTGTTTGAAAGGTCACAATACTGACTTTACTTCCTTTTCTTCTGCATTTATTTTAATTAAAAAAAATGGTATTCTAGGTTATTATACTGTGATCATGAGTGAGCATAGCTAGGAGGCTGGCATATTCGTTTTTGCTTTTAAATTGTAGTATAACAATAGCTGTTCCAAAAAATATTTAAAAGAGAGCATATTCCATCATATTTATTTTCGACTGGGTTGAGACAAAGGTAGAGAAAAATTTATCTATAGACCTTTTCTCCTCCTGTAATTTTGAACAGTGGGTGAAGTTAATGAAATTTAGAATGCATGTTCTTTTTATTGACTAATAAATCATGTTTTGTTGTTTTTTCTTTCTGGATATAAATGTACAAATGAATGGTTATGAAAATGTTTCTTTTGGAAGAGCTTTGAAGAAAGAATACTTCTTCATTGCTTTTGCTACAGGTATTAAAACAGCATTTGCGGTTACTCTGGAGACTGTGTTGGCTGGTCACGAAAACTGGGTAAATGCAGTTCATTGGCAACCTTCATTTTACAAAGGTAGGAAGAACAACATACACATATCCCTCGTTTCAGTTAAATCTCACTCTGCAAATAAATAAAGTGGAGGATGTTTTTGAGTGTGATTAGAAATCTCAAACGTAAGACATTTTCAAGTTGACAAAGTGTGATACTTCAGTCCTGTTCTTCAGGACACTCACTTGCACTGCAACCTGTACCCGTATATTGGGCCAAATACATGGCAGCAAGAAGACAGTTTGACTGTGGGTGCTGGGCATACAATGCAATATACAGATTATGTATCATAGAAATGTATACTTGAAACCTGTACGATCCTAACCAGTAAATTTAATAAAGAAAAGAAAAAGTTGTACTCCTGAGTAAGAAAAGGATGATTCCTGCCATGATCCTAAAACCACCTCATTCCTATTAACTTTTTTCCTGGAAAGTGTTAGACTAGTCTTTATGGGATTTAAGAGAAATTGACTTTCAGAGAAACTTCATTGGATTCTTTACCCTTAGCAATATACTTTTTTCACCCTTGGCAAAAAGTTGGTAATAATGACACATAATTTATGAAAAAATAAGACTCCCCCCTCCTTCCTGTTGCCCTTAACTTTGTTTATGGAGTGATGCATGCTCAAACTGGGGCTAGGATGTAGAGCTGAGTAAGGCACAGCCTCATATTTTTCCCACAGCCCCTTCCCAACACAAAATACAGAATATCAATAATATTCAGGTAACCACCATTTAGCTTTTTATTATACTATGCCTTATTTGCTGCAGTTAAAAAAATTACATATTATAGATGTTGAGGACCCCTGTGTATTTTTTCCTGAATCCTTGCCCCTCCATCCTTCCCCAGTGGCAACTAGAGTACTGAATTCAGGGCATTAGCATTCCCATTCCCATGTGTTTTTGTACTTGAACTACACATATATGTAGCCATAAACAATAGTTTTACAGCCATTAAAATGATATCAGTGTGTACTTACCCTCTTATAACTTGCCTTTTTAGCTTAACATGCTAAACATTTGGAGTTACATCCATGTTGATTCATGTAGCTCTGGTTGTTTATTTTTATTGCATTTCAACATTCCACTGTCTAAATATACCCAAACTTGTCTACCTGTTCTACTGGTAGATATTTGTGTTGTTGCCAACATTTTGATATCGCATTGCTGAAGTGAACGTTTTTGCAGAATCTATGATAGTTTTTTTTTGCTGGTAATCTACAAACATGATGCCTCTTGAAAACGTAAAGAAACTAGTTTATGTTTTTTAGATGGTGTTCTGCAGCAGCCCATGAGGTTGTTATCTGCTTCAATGGATAAAACCATGATTCTCTGGGCTCCAGATGAAGAGTCAGGAGTTTGGCTAGAACAGGTAAAAATGTGAATGTTTAAGGAATAGAAAATTGGATTTGAAAATGAATATTTAATTCCTAGAGCTGCCAGTGTTCACTCTTTGTATATGTTAAGTAAGTGAAAACATAATCTCTGGAATCAATGGTTTCTATTGTGAGAAATATGGACTATTTATTATGAATTGTTTTCTCTTTATTATTGCACAGGTTCGAGTAGGTGAAGTAGGTGGAAATACTCTGGGGTTTTATGACTGCCAGTTCAATGAAGATGGCTCTATGATTATCGCTCATGCCTTCCATGGAGCATTGCACCTTTGGAAACAGAGTGCAGCTAACCCAGTAAGAAAAGCACTTTTAAACAAAGTGTTTCTGATCAAGTAGAGTGAATCTGACTGAAACCTAGGTTAGCAATGTTGTTTTACTTATAACACTCTACAGAAACATAGTAGAGGTATTTAAGTTCAAATGACATCACTTCTTTTTGTAAACATATTGTAGTTTACTAGATAACAAGCTCATGCTTTTCTAAGGATAAAAACATTTCTCCAGAATTTATTGTCATTTTGAAATTTGCGCATAGATAAATTTTCTACATAAGTTTAAGCTATATAGATTTTAAGTTCTCCCTTTAAGCTGTAAATAAAATTTTTATGGGAGTTTTTCCTAAACTGTTTAACTTCCCTGTCTTAAAGAAGGTAACATAGTTTGATACTTTTTTTGTTGAATGACTAGGAACTCCATAGATAATTATTGAACAAATGACTGACAAAATGACATCCTAAGAACCTGTTATTTTGTGACAAATAGATTGATGCTCTCAGGGACTGTAAATATATTTAATTCTACATGGCCCTCCAAATAATGAACTCTTTTAGTTTTTCCTTATAATTTTTTGTCTCCTCTCAGAGAAGAGTAGTCTTCCTCTAATGATGCTCAACGTTATTTGGTTTCTTACTTTCTGATTTGCTTCTTATCTGCTGCTTGGGGAAATGAAATAGGAACATAGTAGCTAAAAGCACAGGCTTTGGAGGTAGACATCCTGGGTTCTCATTCTACCCAGCACGCACTTACCAGCTGTGTGTCCTTGAGGGCATTGCCTAGGCTCTGTCTCAAGTTCCTCATTTGTAAAATGTGGATAGTAAGAGTACCCATTCATAAGATTTTTATGATGTGCCCTGGCTGGTGTGACTCAGTGGATTGAGCATGGGGACTGCAAAGCAAAGGTTCACCAGTTTGATTCCCAGTCAGGGCACATGCGTGGGTCGTGGGCCAGGTCCCCAGTAGGGGGTGCCCAAGAGGCAACCACACATTAGTGTTTCCCTCTCTTTCTCCCTCCATTCCCCTCTCTCTAAAAATAAATAGATTTTAAAAAATTAAAAAAAACAAGTTTTTATGATTCTTACATGAGTTAATATTTGTACAGTGTAAAAAACAGGGCCTGGCATATGACAGTTTTAAAGAAGAAGTATTTGGGGGAATAGATTTAATTTCATTCCTAACTCAGAGTTCATTTGAGCTGTATTTCAGGTGGTCTTTGGGAACCTTCATAGAAGAAAGCATCAGATGAGTAATGAGAGACTCAAACCAGAAGACAGAATTTCACTGTACTTGGGCTTTTAATTTGGTTTCAAATTTATAATAGCTACATTCAAGTATAGAAAGTGATTTTTTAAGCTGACTTCATTTTTTAGAGCAGTTTTAGGTTCAACGAAAAAATTGAGCAGAAAGCATGAAAGGTTCACATAGACTTCTTTCTCCAAACATACACAACCTGCACTGTCAACATCCCAAACCAGAGAGGTACATTTGTTACAGTGAAGAGTGACTTTTAAAAACAAACACTGCCCTTTAGGACTTACAGTGGAAGACTGTACTGATAGTGCAAAAGTGCTGCCTTTTGTTCAGAACTTTTTGGAAACTTTCATTAATGCTAACTTTAGAATCAGTTTTTATGTCACAGAGGAAAGTAATAGCATTTCTTTGTCAAAGCCTTTTTATATTTATTTATTTTTTAAAATAGATTTTTAGAGAGAGAAACATTGATTTGTTATTCCACCCATTTATGCACTCATTGGTTGCTTCTCTTATGTGCCCTAAGCAGAGATTGAACCCACAACCTTGATGTATCGGAACAGTGCCCAAACCAACTGAGCTACCTGGCCAGGGCACCTTTTTATATTTTTGATCAGAAAATAATATAGCTTAACTTAATCACTGACCCCTTTCATCATACTTGGCTTTGAATGGTCTTTTAGGTATTTAAACAAGTTTAATTTTCCTCTTAAAACGAGTTTACCACCACTTGAGGTTGATTCAGAAAAATGCTGTGTGGACCAGGCATATGACTTTTCTGTATTTCATTGTCATTGTTAATTTTTTTAAAAAGATTTTATTTATTTATTTTAAAAGAGAGAGAAGGGAAGGAGAAAGAGTGGGAGAGAAACATCAATTGGTTGCCTCTTGCACATGCCCCAAATGGGGACCAGACCCGCAACCCAAGCATGTGCCCTGACCAGGAATCAAACCAGTGACCTTTTACTTTGCAGCACAACACTCAGCCAACTGACCAATGTTTATTTATATTGTGCCTGGTACAGGCTTCCTCAAAAGTGGACCAGCTAGGTTTGATTCACCCTTCTGTCTTGTACACTTGCATTCCTTTTACTTTGTAAAGAAATACATTGAGAGACACATTCAAAATCTACTAACTCATTTTATATGGTGCTCTTTTCTTATTTAGTTTAACAAATAAATACATAGTACCTAGTACATGCTGGCATTGTTCTGTGTGCTTTGCAAATATAAACTCATTTAATCCTTATAAGGATTCTGTGAATTAGGTAATTTTACAGAAGAGGTAATTTAGCCACGGAAGGGTTGAATAGTGCCTGGCTTCTAGGAGGCACTTAATAAATAATGAATAGAGGGGCCCTGACTGGTGTGCCTCGGTTGGGCATTGTCCTGCAAAGCGAAAGGTTGCCAGTTTGATTCCTGGTTAGGGTACATGCCTAGGTTGTGGGTTTGGTCTCCAACTGGGGCATGTATGGAAGGCAACTGACCACTGTTTCTCCCTCACATTGATGTTTCTCTGCCTCTCTTTCTCCCTCCTTTTCCCTCCCTCTAAAAATAAATAAAAAAATAAAATTTAAAAATGACAAATGGAGGGGAATTTCCCAAAGTTACTGCTTTAAAGGACACAGCACAGTTTAAATGTTTAGATTCTAATATGCTTGACTGAAAAACAGATTTTATAATTTTAATAATCCATCTTGTTTACTTAGCTTTTCACCTTGGTCAGGTGCCTCAGTCTTTCCCAGTAGGAGAGTTTAGGGCTGAAGGCATTATTCTGAGTGGTAGTGGTCTTTGATTATTTTGATGTATCATGAGCACTTTCATTACAGCGAGAGTGGACTCCAGAGATTGTCATTTCTGGACACTTTGATGGTGTCCAAGACCTAATGTGGGATCCAGAAGGAGAATTTATCATCACTGTTGGTACTGACCAGACAACGCGACTTTTTGCTCCATGGAATAGAAAAGGCCAGTCACAGGTAAAATATCCTCCTACTTGACTGATCCGCTTTGAAAAATATCCATGAGTATGTGAAAAGTGGAGCAACATCACTAGCCATTGGGGAAATGCAAATCAAAACCATAAAGAGATGTCACTGCACACCCCATAGAAAGGCTAAAGTGAAAAATTCAGTAACAAGTGGTGATAAGGATACAGAGCAACTGGAACTTTCATATATTGCTAGTGGAAATGTAAAAAGATACAAGCACTCTGGGAAACCATTTGGTATTTTCTTCAAATCTTTTACATGCACATCCTCTTTATAATTCAAATGTTATTGTCAAAACGTATTTAATTTAGTTCACACACAGTTTCTATTAGGCCTTGTGATTTAATTAGGAAACATTATCAAATCTGCAGTACAAGCTAATTTCTAAAGCCATATAGTATTAGATAATAGTGGTTGAGGGTGGTTTTTGTTTAGGAAACTTTTCAATCTTGACGCTGAACTCAAAAAAATAATAAAACGTTGCCAATGGTAAGCCAGTGAATTGTGCAGTGCAATAGGGAAAAGCCAGCGTCCTCAGCTTCAATTTCTGACAAAAATTCACGGAACCTGAATGTGAGTCAGTCCATGAGAGCTGACAGAATTTGCCGCTGACACTATTGTTTCAGTAGCATGTGACAGATTCAAGTTAAGAGTTGAGGACATGTGGAGTAATATTACAGTCAATTGAAAAACAAGGCAAATGATTTGGAGTGATTTCCTGCTGCCATTGATTTGTTACTAATATGGCTCAGTTGTTTATATATAATCCATTAAAAAGTCAATAAATTGGACATAACAAAAGTGTAAAATTTTTGCTCTTTGAAAGATACTATCAGGAAAATGAGAAGACAGGTCACAAACTGGGAGAAAGTATTTATGTATCTGAGAAGGATTTATATCCATAATACATATAAAGCTTTTCAGAACTCAGTAATAGGAAAATAAACAATCCAATTAAAAAAAAAAAAACAGGCAAAAGATTTGAATAGATATTTCTCCAAGGAAGACATGGCTAGAAAATAAAAATAGGAAAAGATTCTCAATACCACTAGTCATTAGGGCAATGCAAATTAAAGCTACATTGAAATACCATTGCACACATATTGGGATGATTAAAGGTAAAAGACTGACTAGAACAAGGGAGTGGGCAAATAGAACTCTCATATGCTGCTGTTAAACGTATAATTGCTTTGGAAAATACTTTGGCAGTTTCTTAAATATTTAGATAGGCATCTTCTATATCATTCAGCCATTCTACTTATAATTGCTGTTTGCCCAAGAGAAATTGAAGCTTATATCCATACAAAGACGTGTACACAAATATTCCATGACTGCTTTTGTAGTAAATGACATAACTGGAAACAACCTAAATGTCTTATCAGCAGGTGGAGGGATCAACAAAAGTAGTGGTATGTTCATACAAGGAAGTAGTGGTATATTCATACAAGGAAACAATGAAAAGGATCGAACATTGATAAACACAACACCATGGATAAATCTGTCCCATGGTCGTATCTCCATGGCATATTACAGTGATTTTCAGTTGGTGTGCCGGAAGAATTTTTGAAATACGCAGTGCTTGACTAACCGGGAACTGACCTTTTCCATTAGATTGTCAAATTAAAAAAAAATGAAAACAGCCAACACAACAATAGCCGTCTGGTGTGAATGAATCAAAATTATACCTATTTTCCTTCTCAGATTGGCAAAAAATACATTTTTTTGGAGTACCACAGAATTTTAGAAATTAGCTTATGTGTGCTGTGAGATTAAAAAAAAGGTTGAAAATCACCGGCATAATGAATAATTTTGTGCCTGATATTTTGCTTGTTGAAAGGATTCATTCTTTTGAAATGTTTTATTGTTTTTGTTTATCCTATTTTAATACTCAGGTAACTTGGCATGAAATTGCACGGCCTCAGATACATGGATATGACCTGAAATGTTTGGCAATGATTAATCGGTTTCAGTTTGTATCTGGAGCAGATGAAAAAGTTCTTCGAGTATTTTCTGCACCTCGGAATTTTGTAGAAAATTTTTGTGCTATTACAGGCCAATCACTGAATCATGTGCTTTGTAAGGTGAGTATCTCTCTAAATGTTTTAACTAAATCTAATCACTTCATTTTAATTTTTGAAATTTTTGCTTAAGGCTGTAAAGAGAATATATGGGTAGAAAGGAAGTTAAGTCATTTAATTGGCTTGACAAACTTGTGTGAACTGTGGCATGCAGTAATTTAAATATTTAATATTAAAACCAGAAATTTTGTAACAACTTTGTCCAAGACACTAAAAAATCTAAATGTTAAATTAAGATATGAATACTATATACCATCACTGTGCTGGTTTTGATGGTTAGCATATAGTTTCATATGAGATAATTTGATATAAATTGCCGCGTTTGAGCCACTTACTGGCATTTCAAATGGCACTCTGTAAAACGTTTTAAAAATATTTGATTATTTAAACATGGTAAATGAAAATACGATGACTGCCTTTCTGGGAAATATTTGTGTTTGTATGAGCATCATTAGGGATGTGCCTGTGAGACTGTCTTGGAAGTAGAGCTCTGGGCCTTCCGTAGTCAGCTTCCTCTTTGCTAGAAGCCAGCCCCATGCATTTCCAGTAAGACCCTGAAACCCAGTAAGCTGTTAGGGTTCGATGAGCTTATGGATGAGAGGATGCCCAACTTCCCAGATTGGGTAGAGGGTTGGGGTTTTAGCTGGAGCCTGTCTATTGGAGAGTGATTGTTGAGCATGACATCTGTTGGTGCAGGAAATGGAAGCGTGGGCAGATAGCCACATAAAAGTGATCTCTAAGCTGCTTCTCAGCATTTATGAGTATGACATTTTTGTAGTAACAGCAACTTTCAGTGTTTAAAACATAGCATACTTTTTATTCCAGCAAGACGGTGAACTTCCAGAAGGAGCTACTGTCCCTGCATTGGGATTATCAAATAAAGCTGTCTTTCAGGGTAAGGCTTTAGCCTCCAAAATTGTTGAACCCATAATGGTACATAAAACCTACTTACACACTTGTACAGCATGTACTTAATACTCATTATAGCCAATATTTTTTAAAAATCACAATACACACATCTGTCTTTATCACATTTTGTGATAAGTACTCTGTACACATGCAAACCTTGAAGCATGTGCAACTTTCACAAAGTGTGTCATGGACCACTAAAACCATGGATGCTAACATGGGTAACCTAAAGAATATTCCACAGTCTTAAAAGTTTGGGAACTGTTAGATCAAAGAAAAAGGAGAAGTCCTTATGTGATTGACTAGTGCTCCTAAGAGCACATTTGTAAAATACTGGGGTAGTAGAAATACCTTTGGCTTTGAAATCACATGGATATGGTTTGAATTACACTACTTTTAAGTGCCACTACTTTATCACTGGTGGCCTTAGTATTAGAATATGTGTAGGAGATATAAAGATGGTGACTATATTCATGATATTATGTTTCTTTTAAACTAGGAGATATAGCTTCTCAGCCTTCTGATGAAGAAGAACTGTTAACTAGTACAGGTTTTGGGTACCACCAGGTGGCCTTTCAACCCTCCATACTTACTGGTAAGAAATTTTAAAAAGATGATTTAATAGAATCATTAAGTACTTATATTTGTCACTGATGACCTAAATAAGTGCTATACCATTTACTATTTTATTTGCATGGAAGTAGAAAAAAATAATTGCAGTGCTATAAATTTATTGTAGAACCTCCCACTGAGGATCAACTTCTGCAGAATACTTTGTGGCCTGAAGTTCAAAAACTGTAAGTTAAACTTTTAGCAATTTGGTCTGAATCTATCATAACTTGTGACTTGGCCTCCACAACTTGTTGTTTTTATTGTTTGCTTTCCTCTTACCTACATTTCCTGCCCTGCTCCAAAGATCTTCTAGTGGCTTTCATGAGGGGGGAGTATCAAATTTTATGTAGGTTTTTCTATTATAATATCTTATATTTACTAGGCTTGTCAGTCTTTTTAAAGTAGAGAAGCATAACTTGTGTGTGTGTGTGTGTGTGTGTGTGTGTGTGTGTGTGTCCGTCCGTGTTTGTGTGTCCGTCCGTGTGTGTGTGTCCGTCCGTGTGTGTGTCCCCGTCCGTCCGTCTGTCCCCTTAAAAGAGACTTTTAAGTCTTGTTATTCTGTTTGGTTTTCCTTCCTTTGTTGGTAACCTTTCCATGGTTTATTTATTGTACCAGCTGGTTGGGGGTGAAAACTTGTATTTTAAACTAATTATGTGGGTAAGTTGGGTTAACTTCCAGGAAGCTGGCATTTTTCTCCACTCTCTTTCTTTTTTCCCCAAATGTTTACCCAGACTGAAATTCAATGTTCCCTAAAAGAACTGTATGTTAGGTAGAGAAATTGATGTTATTCTTTTCACTTTTGTAGTTTTTGCAGCATGAAGATACTTACTAATACAGGGGTCATGCATTTTCTCGTTTTAAATTTTAGATATGGACATGGTTACGAATTATTTTGTGTTGCTTGTAACAATTCAAAGACTCTGCTTGCCTCAGCTTGTAAGGTAGGGAATTTTACTTTCTTATTCTGCTTGGTCACAAATTGAGTCACTAGGCATCTGCAAGTTTGGTAGCAATTAAGTCAGAACACTATGTGACTGGCCACTGGTGCCTGCTTTTTCTGAATCTTGCTTTCTCAGTCTCTTTTTCTTTTTGTTTCATAAAAAGCTTGCAGTTGCATTTATATCTGTTTCAGCAGTTGCCCTGACTGGTGTAGCTCAGTTTGGTTTGCGTTGTCCTACAAACCAAAAGGTCGCTGGTTTGATTTACAGTCAGGTCACACGTCTGGGTTGCAGGCCAGGTCCTCCATCAGGGGGTGCAAGAGGTAACTGATTGATGTTTCTCTCTCACATTGATATTCCTCCCCTTTATTTCTCCCTCCTTTCCCCTCTCTCTAAAAACAAATAAAATCTTTAAAAAAAATCTACTTCAGCTGCATATTTCTATTCTTAAATACTTGATTTGAATTGATTTATGCCTCTGCTCAAAAATTACTTAAATCAGATATCTTAAAATGAGACCTGAAAATCTGATACATTTTAAATAAGTGGAGTCCTGGAGACATAGGGAATGAGAAGGTCAAACTCAGGGGGCACTCCATCTGAAGTTTCTCGAGGACGCTCTCGGAATGGACCTACAGGTGGAGTCCCTCTGCCCATGCCAGGGTGAGGCAGGGTGGTGGTCTGCTCAGCTAGCCACCAGCATGAAGCTACAGAATAGTGCACTTCAAACATTTGCCTCGGAGACTTATCTTGAACTATTTATTATTTATCCATATGCTGTGGAGTGAAATAATATTTATAGAGGATTGTCTGAAGGGTCTAAGACTCACACAGTCCTCTAAATTTCCTAAAACATATCTACTTGTTTTAAACATGATGGTGAGAGGTGTCAATCTGGATGCTCTACTGTCCCTGTTTTTGCTGTGGCTTCTTGCCACTGGCCTGTACTGAGAGGCATCATAAGAAATACATTTCTGTGCTCCCCTCCTCCACCCCTGCCCCCCAACCCCTGCCCTTGCTTGTTGTCACTTCTGTGAGGATGGTACTGAGAGCACTTCCTTCTGTTACATGGGTCTCTGGGAAGAATGTGGTTTAGTAGCAGGAATAGCTGTGCTTCTGCTGAACAGCTAATTTTGTTTTTTGCTCTGGGCACTGTTAATCATACAAGTGATTATTTTTTTAGGTTGGCTCACTTGTAGCAAGCATGTACAACTAACTTGTTTTTTTAGTTTGTGTACTTTTTCTCTTTTATATTTAATACAGTGGAAAAGAGGCATGGTTGAAAATGTGGCTTGGAAAGTTTAAATCTGAACGTTGGTGTAAACTCACTTGCTCAATAGAAGGACCATGGAAACTCCTAGTAGCTTTATTCTCTAGACACCAGCCTGAAGGTAGCTGGGTTTCTTGAATGAAGGTGCCAGCCAACATTTTGTTTTGACTAGTAAAGCAAATGACTAGATGCATCTTTATTTTAAACTAATTGTTTTAGCAGATTTATTTAGATGCCATTACTGTTCTATAAGTTGCATGCTGAAAGTGAACAATTTGATGTTTTAACAAATGTTTATACCTGTGGAATTATTAGTACAATCAGGATAACGTACATATCCATCAATTCCTAAAATTTTATCTGCCCCATGGCAATTTTTTTCCCATCCCCTCCTTACCCTCTTTAGCCCCAATCCACAGAAAACCACTAATTTGGTTTTTTGTCATGATAGAGTACTTTGCATTTTCTAAAATTTTATATAATTGGAATCATACAGTATATACTTTTTTGTGGGGTTAGGGGTTTGGCTTTTTTCATCTATATTTCATGTATCAGTACTTCTTTCTTGTTGCTGAGTAGCTTTCCCTTTTATAGATACATCACAATTTGTTGATTCATTCACTTTTTAGTGGACATTTGAATTGTTTACAAAGTTTTTGGCTTTTACCGATAAAGCTGTCATAAGTATTTGTGTACAAGTTTGTGTGGGTATATGCTTTCATTTCTTTTGAGTGAATACCTAAGAGTGGAACTGCTAGATGATTTCGTAGATGTATATTTACATTTTTAAGAAACGGCCAAAGTGTTTTCCAAAGTGGTTTTACCATTTTATAATCCCACCAGCAGTATATTAGAGTTCTAGTTGCTCCACACCCCTCACCAACACTTGGTGTGGTCACTCCTTTTTGTTTGTTTGTTTTTTTTAAGATTTTATTTATTTATTTTTAGAGAGAGGGGACAGTAGGGAGAAAGAGAGGGAGAGAAACATCAAGGTGTGGTTGCCTCTTGTGTTCCCCCTATTGGGGATCTGACCCATAACCCAGGCATGTGCCCTGACTGAGAATTGAACCAGTGACCCTTTGATTCACAGGTCAGTGCTCAATCCCCTGAACCACATCAGCCAGGGCCCTTTTTTTTTTTTTTTTTAATATATTTTATTGATTACGCTATTGTAGTTGTCCCAGTTTTTTCTCTCCTTTATCCCCCTCCATCTTTCACCCTTCCACCCTCCAGCATTCCCCTCCCCCCCTTAGTTCATGTACATAAGTTGTCCATGTAAGTTGTTTGGCTTCTCTATTTCCTATTCTGTTCTTAACCTCCCTCTCTCTATTTTGTGCCTACCAATTATGCTTCTTATTCCCTATACCTTTATCCCCCATTCTCCCCCTCCCCCTTCCCACTGATAACCCTCCATGTTATCTCCATTTCTGTGATTCTGTTCCTGTTCTAGTTGTTTGCTTAGGTTTTGTTTTTGTTTCTTAGGTTCAGTTGTTGATAGTTGTGAGTTTGTTGTCATTTTGCTGTTCATAGTTTTTGATCTCCTTTTTCTTAGATAAGTCCCTTTAACGTTTCATATAATTAGGGCTTGGTGATGATGAACTCCTTTAATTTTACCTTGTCTAGGAAGCACTTTATCTGCCCTTCCATTCTAAATGAGAGCTTTGTTGGATAGAGTAATCTTGAATGTAGATCCTTGCCTTTCATGACTTTGAATACTTCTTTCCAGCCCCTTCTTTCCTGTAAGGTTTCTTTTGAGAAATCAGCTGACAGTCTTATGGCAGCTCCTTTGTAGGTAATGATCTCCTTTTATCTTGCTGCTTTTAAGATTCTCTCCTTACCTCCTTATTATGATGTGTCTTGGTGTGTTCCCTCTTGGGTCCAATTTCTTTGAGCTTCCTGGACTTCCTGGACGTCTTACTTCCTTTGCCAGATTGGGGAAGTTTTCTTTCCTTTTTTCAAGTAAGTTTTCAATTTTTTGCTCTTCCTCTTCTCTTTCTGGCACCCCTATATTCAGATGTTGGAACATTTAAAGTTGTCCCAGAGGTTCCTAAGCCTCTCCTCATTTTTTTGAATTCTTGTTTTTTTCATTTGGTACCAGTGGATGTTTTATTTCTTCCTTCTGTTTCAGATTGTTGATTTGAATCCCGGTTTCCTTCCCTTCTCTGTTGGTTCCCTGTATATTTTCCTTTATTTCACTTTGTATAGCCTTCATTTCTTCCTTCATTTTGCAACTGAACTCAGTCATTCCTGTGAGCATTCTGATTACCAGTGTTTTGAACTCTGCATCTGATAGGTTGGCTATCTCCTTGTCACTTGGTTCTTTTTCTGGAGTTTGATCTGTTCTTTCATTTGGGTCATATTTCCTTGTTTCAGTGCACCAGTCTGGATGAAGGTTTCTTCTTTAACTCCTTAGTTGTCAGACTTCCATACAGTTGGATTTTATGGCAGTTCTGGTTGTTTTTTGTTTTTAAATTGTTTGTTATCCTTCTTTTGATTGTGGAAGCAAGTGAAGTATTTCTACCTGTGCCTCCATCTCGACTGGAACTTCTCTAGAAGACTGGTATGGTCACTCTTTTTAACTATTCTAATAGGTGTGTAATATTTCACTGTAGTTCTATTCGCATTTTTTTAATGTGTCAATTTTCCATTTATATATCTTCTTTGATGAAATTTATCTTCACATATATTGTCCATTTCTTTATTAGATTATTTTTACTACTGAGTTTTGAAAAGTTCTTTATAGGCACTAGATCAGCTCTCAGATATATGCTACGTAGATAATTATTCCCAGTGGCTTTTCTTTTCATTTTCCTAAGAGTGTTTTTCAAAGAGCAGAAGTTGTATGATTTGGTGAAGTCTAACTTACCAATTTTCCCATATTAGGTGGAGATTTTTCTTTGTTTTAATATACTATAGATTTTCCTCTAAGCTTTGTTTTTGAGGCATTACACAAATTTTCATTTTCATTTAATTAAAAGCACTTTCTAATGTTACTTTGGTTTTATCTTTGACCTATAGTTTATTGTGAATGTATTATTTAGTTTCCATATTCTGAGTATTTTCCAGTTATCTTTCTGTTACTGACTTTTAATTTAATTTCTTTGTGGTCAGAAAACAGATATTTGAATCTTTTAAAATTTAATCTTGGTAAATTTCCATGTTCACTTTGAAAAGAATGGATTCTATTTCTGCTGGGTGGAGTGTTCTGAAAATATGAACCATATGAGATTGGTTGATAGCATTGTTCAAGTCTTTGTCCTTTCAGTTTTATTGAAAGTGGCATTTTGAAATCTTGACTATATACTGTGGACTTGTCTTTTAATCCTTACAATTCAGTCAGTTTTTACTTTACATATTTTGAAGTCTGTGGTTAAAATATTTTTCATTTTCATATTTTCTTGATTAATCAACCATCTTTAATTTCTGGTAATATTTTATGCTTTGAAATCTACTTTACTGTTAATATAGCCATCTAGCTCTCTTTTGAGCAGTGCTTGAATTGTATATCTTTTTCCATAATGTTACTTTTAAGCTACTTGTTTTTTTATTTCAAGTGGGTTTTAAGGGGGACAGCATATAGTTGGGTCTTGCTTTTTTACTCATCTTGTTAATCTTTCATTTTAATAGGGGTTTAATTAGACCATTTACCTTTATTGTCATAATCGATATGGTAGGATATAAATCTGTCATCTTGCTATTTGCTTTCTACTTGATTCATCAGTTCTTTATTCCATTTTACTTAGATTTGATTCATTGATTACTTCCTATGATTTTACTTTATTTATTCTGTTTGATTAGTAGATATAAGTTTTTGTTGTATTATTTTATTGGTGGTTTTACCTTTTTTTAAGATTTTATTTTTTAGAGAGAAGGAAAGGGTATTTTTTTAGAGAGAGGCAAAGGGAGGGAGATGAGGAGGAGAGAAACATCAATGTGTTGTTGCCTCTTGCACACCCCCTACTGCGGACCTGGCCTGCAACCCAAGCATGTGCCCTGACTGGGAATCGAACCAGTGACCCTTTGGTTCACAGGCCAGAGCTCAATCCATTGAGCCACACCAGCCAGGGCTGTTTTACATTTTATAGTATACATCTTTAATTTACCGCAGTCTGCCTTCAAGTAATATTGCACTATTTTATGTACAATTTAAGAACTTTACAAAAGTATACTTTTATTTTCCCCTACTTTGTGGTATTTTACTTAATCATAGAAATCCCATAACATATTGTTATTATTTCTGTTTTGACCAGTTAATTATCTTTTACAGAGATTTTAGCAATAGCAAAATTCCCATCAGATATCATTATCCTTCTGCCTAAAGAATGTTCTTTTACATTCTTTGCAGTGTAATTCTGCTAGTCATGAATTTTTCTTTTTCGACTTTGTTAGCCTAGAATCTGTTTCTTCATTTTTGAATGATATTTATGGTTGGTAAAGAATTATTGGTTTTCCTTTTGTATATTAAAACATTGCTTTATTTTCTTTGGATGTGCATTGTTTCTCATTAGTCTGCTGTAATTTGTCTTTGATCCTCAGTAATCAATTTTTTCCCTCCAACTGCAATTTCATATTTATTGCTGGTTTGAAGCAATCTGATTATTGTTGATAGAGGCTTCTTCATGCCTCTCGTGCTTGGGTTTTGTTGAACTTTGTGATCCATAGGTATTATTTTCATCAGATTTTGAAAATATTCAGCCATTATCTTTTTAAGTATTTTTTCTTTTCATCCTTTCTGGGGACTTTAGTTACACTTGAATTTAACTGCTTGAAGTTGTCATAGAGTTTGATGATACTCATTTTTTTCCCCACTCTGATTCATTTTGTCTCTCAAGGATCAGTGTTCTCTGTTTCCAGATATCTCAGTTTTGGAGTGCCATCATTTTTATGTATTTGGTCTGGATTTTTAGTTTTTTCACACAAGAGAGTAAACCTGATCCTGTTATATCCTATTTACTAGAAGTGAATGTCTTTTTCTTTTTTTTAAGATTTTATTTATTTTTAGAGAAAGAGGAAGGGAGAGAAACATTGATGTGTGAGAGAGAGATACATGGATCTGTTGCCCCTTGCATGCCCTCAGCTGGGGACCTGGTCTGCAACCCAGGCATGTGCCCTGAATGGGAATTGAACCTGTGACTTTTCAGTTCATAGGCGGGCACTCAAGCCACTGCACCACCAGCCAGGGTGAAGTGAATGCCTTTAAACTATTGTTTCATTTCTCTCCTGCAGGCAGCTAAGAAAGAGCATGCAGCCATCATTCTCTGGAACACTACATCTTGGAAACAGGTGCAGAATTTAGTTTTCCACAGTCTGACTGTCACACAGATGGCCTTCTCACCTAATGACAAGTTCTTACTAGCTGTTTCCAGAGATCGGACCTGGTCACTATGGAAAAAGCAGGACACGATCTCACCTGAGTTAGGTAAAAACAGTTTCTGATTAGGAAGATTATTAGTAAGACAGTGATACCCACTTTGTCCACCTTGAGCAGCTATTGGGTGAAGAGAAACAAAAATGATAACCGGTGAAGGGCAGAGTCTCACTGTTGTGAAGTCTTTCAAAATTCTGTTAAGATTGAGGAAGACTTGACCTTCCTTCTAAGATTTAAATGCAGGTGGTCTTTGGGTGGACTTCTTTGTGATTATGTAGTCAGGATGACATGTGTTCAGACATCCCAGTTAAATAAACATAAAAATCTATATGTAGAAAATTTTGATTTTGCAGATGGTTATAGAATGTTGCCAAAAAAACACATGGATGGCATATTTCAATCTAGGAATTTATAGGACAGGAATAATGAAAATGCAATTAATTTATGAATGTAAAAGGGCCATTTTCTTTATCCATTTCCTCCCCATTCCTGTCATTTTGATCATTGGGAAGGGTAGTTTAGGCATCCACCTGTGAATAACATGACCCCTGGGCGACATGTTAACACACCTACCCGCATTCTGTGCTGAGCCTGGCATAAATTTTTAAAAAAAGAAAGAAGGAAAAAAGCTTTGTTTTGTTTACACAGTGGCCATTCCTCTTCCCCCAGTTTCTTTGGGTAAAATCTAGAGAGTGTTTAAAATATCTCTGTGTTGTTTACACCTACTTTTAATTTTCCATTGATACTACCTGCATTTACTTTGATCTTGTGATATCTCTAATCCCTTAGTTTCTTGTCTTTTAGAGAATACCAGGAGCTGTAAGACATACACGGCAGTATGTATTAGAAGATTTTCTCTTGCAATTAACTAGTGATTTTCTAACATGCAATCCTTAATCTTCAAAAAATTAAAGTGATACTAGTAACATATCCATTAATTGCTTTATCTTTATGGATTATGGATTAATAGATACCTTCTTCATAAGCAGTTACTGTTTCAGGTTTAGTCCATATTAGGGCTAGAAGTTACCTCACACATTTAAATCCTACAAAGGAAAAGATTTTTTTAATTTGGGTTTTCTTTTTTTAACATTATTTAAGGGAACATTAATTTTTTTTTCCATGGTTTAACATCCAAATTTGGCTATTTCCTGAGTAAGGTGAATCGCTTCATGTTTTTACCTTAGGCATAAAATGAACCGTTAGCTGCGTACGGGGAAGATGTTTGTCATCAGTCACTAGAGAATGAGCAGCCAATATAAAATCATTTTTTAATAGAACAATTACTGTGTTCCCATAGCCTCTGGTAAGGGGTCATTTGCCTAGCCTTGGTCTGTTGCCAAAGTCAGCATATGTAAATTGAATATGACACTTAAACATAGCTTTTTAACAGTCAAAAAAAGCCAGGACAGCTTTCTCTGCTTTGTGAGTAGTGCCTATGTGTTTCTTTCAGACCCAATTTTCAGTCTCTTTGCCTTCACCAACAAAGTCACTGCTGTGCACAGTAGAATTATTTGGTCATGTGATTGGAGTCCTGATAGCAAGTTTTTCTTCACTGGAAGTCGGGACAAAAAGGTAATTTTAAAAAATATTTTCTCAGATGCGAAATGATATTATTACAGGTATGTTTGGATAGAAACCACATAATCCTGACTTTCTGATACAACTTTTAAAAACTGATATGTGTATTACTCTGTGTTTTTCTTATGCATACATAAAAAAGTATTTTCTTGTTAAATGCTATAAGTACATTTCTCTGAAATTTCAAATATAAGAAGCCCTGTAAAACACATAACCTGAATTAAATGACCCCAATGGGAGTAAATGAAATGGATCAAGACTAAGGAAGTAAGAGCAGGAGCAGGGAAAGGGAGCGTGCGGGGGGAAGCAGTTTCTACTTTTCTTTTTCATACTGTTATGAGTGAAGTTTTTTTCTATAATGAGTGATTATTACCTTTTCATTCAGTGGTGAGAGTGTTGGGGAGGGATGTGATCCCAGCTTTCCACAGTCCAGAGCAAGTTAGCTAGCAATAGTGTCTTGACCGTGACCCCTTGCTCTTGTTCTCTGGGAAATGTTCACCTGGCTTCTGATCTTTCTTTTGTTTTCATACTGTTTCCTTTTCACTGCAGACTGGAGGTGGTGAGGCAGTTTCCTTTCCTCTCCGTGCCCTTTCCAGTCCTAGTCATGGTACAGATTACTGAAGCAGAGGGCCGGCATGGGCATGTTGTCTCTCAGTGAGACACTGAAATGTCAGCCCTAAAACACCTTCAGACCTTCGTTCATGTTCACTTGCCTGTTAATTCCTCTGTGGCATTTATTTGCGTAACCTCTGCTGGCTGCTGAGGAAGCAGGCCTGCATGTGTCCTCCAAAGTCATGCCCAATAACAGATGGCACCGCTGTGGTTCTCAGGGATACAGCAGGGCTGAAACAGACAAAGCCTTATCTGCTGCACATGCTCCGAAACACTCTTCCTCTTGCATGGGCAGAGGCTTCTGACTGGAATCTTGCCTTGGTCCTGCATTTTGCAATTATCATCTGCTTTACTTCCCTCTCCATTTCTTTGTGACCAATCACACCCCCTTGAAGCATGAGCTTCCAGGGAAGCCTCATGTCTACTACGAGGCCTCCTCAAGGTTAGGGCCTCTTGACAGCTGAGCTAATGCCCTGAGCAGTGGGTGGTGTAGAGGAGGAGCCAGGACTTGATTGGTCTCCATACATTTGTGGTAACTTCTTGGGCAGGTGCATGAGCCTCTCAGTCAGGACATGATCAGTTGAAACTCACTGGATCAGAACTGGTTTCCTGAGTTTAAAGGCACCCCTGGCACGGACAGTGCATCTAGGCTGGCACACTGTGAGGCCATTGAGGTCTCAGAGACTTGTGTCTGCTACACTGTGGCTTCTCTGTGATGCTTAAAGTGCTCTTAAGTCCTGGCGCACAAATGTAAATATTGGATATTTTTGAATGCCAGAGCAAATATTTTGCATAATCTGTGTCACTGAAACTCTAATGCATTGCTGGAAGTCTTGCCAAGAGAAAGCTTTACAGAGTTTGCTCTTTTTTTGTTAGGTGGTTGTCTGGGGTGAGTGCGACTCCAGCGATGACTCCGTCGAGCACAGCATCGGCCCCTGCTCCTCTGTCCTGGATGTGGGCGGGTCTGTGACAGCTGTCAGCGTCTGCCCTGTGCTTAACCGTTCCCAACGGTTAGTCTCTGTGCAGGGCTTCCTTACATGTGTTCTCTAAGAAGACCACTTGGTTTGTCAATATGTAGCCCTCTTACACTTTTCATTCATGGGTTCTGTTAGCTCCCGAGCTCTTATTTTTTTCATAATGCTATGTTTCTCATAAGAATTTTTAAATGGATAGAACTTGATGATATTCAACATGGTGAAGGGAGATTGGGAATGTAGCTCAAAGGTTCTTTACCAAATTCAGGACTATCGTGCCCTCTGTGAAATAAGTGTCTCCAGCAGAATGCAGGCCCCTGCAGCCTGCCAGGGAAGTGTTGGTTCTTGAGCTTTGCCAGTGGAGGACAGAGGTAAAACAGTGGGCATCCTCGATGGAGAGGAGGCTCCTTGAAGGCACAGTACAGCAATGCACTGTGTTCTGGGCTGGTGGTTTTCAACAGAGGCCTTTGTAAGCATGGGGCAGCTGGGAACACTGAAGAACTACTTGAAGTGTGATGATGGAGATGACAGAAGATCCTGCTACATTAATAACTGCCTTCTTCCCTCCCTTAAAACCAGATACGTTGTTGCAATAGGATTAGAGTGTGGAAAGATTTGTTTATACACCTGGAAAAAGACTGATCAAGTTCCAGAAGTAAATGACTGGACCCACTGTGTAGAAACAAGTCAAAGGTATTTTCTTCCCAGTTTTGCTTCCATCAGACTAGATTGAAATGAAATCTTTAGCAGCAAATTTTATGCCACATCTGCATGGAGAAGGACAGAAATCTGTATTTATGATGCCCACCGCTAGTCCCCCTGTGTTTTGTGGCATAATCTCTTGAAATCGGCGGTGTTGCCAAATAGCACTTGATTTTTAAAAGTTTGACCAGATTATTTGTTTGCATCATATTATCTTTACAGATAACACATTTGAGAAAAGTGATTTTCATAATGATATATTTTAGAATTTGGTAAAATTGATTCAAAATGTTGGTGGTTTTTTAAAAATATTTTTGTGTTTTGGAGGCATTTGAACACTTCTCCTCAGGTCCTGCAATGGAGTAAGCTGTTAAGTGCTCCTCAAAGCTCTGTGACTGGCTGCCAGGCACAGTAACCTGTCCCTAAGCCTCACATCCCGGGCATGGGCCTTTGCCACGTGAGCTGGCTTAGAGGACTTGCTCTTTAGAACATCCTCTCCACCTCTACCTGCCTAGAGAATAGGGATTCTTTTTTTTAATTTATTTATTTTTGGAGAGAAAGGAAAGAGAGGGAGAGGAACATCAATGCGTGGTTGCCTCTTGCACAGCCCCAACCAGGGACCTGGCCTGCAACCCAGGCATGTGCCCTGACTGGGAATTGAACCAGTGACCCTTTGGTTCACAGGCGGGCATTCACCCCACTGAGCCACACCAGCAAGGGCTGATTGCTGTTTTTAAAGCTCATCTCTAAATGACTTAACTGTATTTAGTAATCAAATTCATCCACACACAAAGATGAGCTATCATTGATAGTACTCAGGTCATAGTCTGCATAATATAACATGGAAGCATTTCCTTTAGAAGCATTTTGGGAAGCACTGAGGCACAGCAGCACTGTGGAAATGTGTGTAACCTCCCAGTGGGGCCACTTACAAGGGCTCACAGTCATTTGGTTGCGTAGATTCCGGTGTGCTGATTTAATGATGTGTTTCATACTTCAGGGTTATGCTTTAGCCTTATCTTTGGACCTTAGAGTACATCTGGTAATGGATTCTCAGCATTTGAAAGTATAATTTGTGTGCTCTGACATTATTTTCAGTGTTACTGCCTTAAAGTCTAAGTTTTTCACTTTATTCCTTTTTGGTTTAGAGGTCTAATTTGCTGGTTAAATTTACAGAGGATACTGTATTTTCATAGAGATTTATTAATAATCTTATGGTTGGGAGCATTATAGGTCTGCCATGGGGATTGGGATGGGCATTAATATGAGCTGCTTGCTCAAGGTCATGCAGTTGAAGATCAGTTGGAGACCAAGACTCTTTTACTGGGCAGTAATTAAATCTTTCATTGCCTTTCCTTACCCAGCAGTAAAAATGTAAGAGTCCATCCATGTCATAGGGATGTTGGAAGAATAAAATAATCTAGAATATGTTGCAAAGTTCGAATTCTTCAAGAAATGCATTTAGTGAAGTTATCTGAAAGTTTGATTTTAATAGTTGTGTCATGTGTTCCACTGATCACTAAAACAAAATTTGCTGGTATCCTTGGTTTAGTAAATGATACTGGACAGTTTTCAATAAAAGATGTTTTCAAAGTTAGAATAAATTGCTAAAACATTAGTGATGGTATTTTAAAATCTGTACATTCTGACTTTTCAGGTTTTGACTTTGATTTATGTTAACAATATTAATAGTTAAATTAGTGTCTATGTGAGCACCCAGGAAAATATTTTGTACTCATAACATGCATTCATTTCATGCCTTCTCTATTTTTGTTTTAGCCAAAGCCATACACTTGCTATCAAAAAATTATGCTGGAAGAATTGTAACGGAAAAACTGAACAGAAGGAAGCAGAAGACACTGAGTGGTTATATTTTGCAAGTTGTGGTGAAGATCATACTGTGAAGATACACAGAGTAAACAGAGGTGCACTGTGATGGACTTAATAACCTCAATCGTATAACATTGGTGTCTTAAGATATTTATCATGTAAATAGATAACCTGTCTTTACATCATAGTTTCGTTTGTAAGTCCTATAGGAGTAGTATGTATTTGGGTCAGACCCTTTGAAGTATGATGAAAGCTTCAGGCTCTTTAGTCAGTGTTGTTACATATGCAGACACCCTCAGAACCATGCCCATGCTTTCAGGAATTCAGACCTGCATCCATGTGCTCCAAATAAGAACTTCCGTTCTTTCTTTATGACCAAAATTGCCTAGTTGTATGCTGTTTTGGGCCTTCGCTTTTCTTTCTTTTTTTTAAAGATTTTATTTATTTATTTTTAGGCTGAGGGGAAGGGAGGGAGGAAAAGAGGGAGAGAGAACACCAATCAGCCACCTCTCACACGCCCCTAACCAGGGACCTGGCCCGCAACCCAGGCATGTGTCCTGACCAGGAATTGAACTGGAGACCTTTTGGTTTGCAGGCCAGTGCCCAATCCACTGAGCCACATCAGCTAGGGCTCCAGGGCTGGGCCTTCTCTTTTCATATGACCCTCTTTGGGACATTTCATTGTTTATTACCTTCTTCAGAGGGAGGACATAGAAAACAAAAAGAGATAAAAGCCAGATTACTCAATTTTTATTTGAACCGTTTTTGTAAATAAACAGACCACACACAAAGTATAGTCTTGATCCCTTCTTCCCAGTACACACCAACCATTCTAGGAATTTGGCAGGCGGTTCGGACTTTGAAATTTTAACAAATTTCTTTCATTTGTTAAAAATACATGGATTCTTCTTTTAGGATGTGACTTTAATCCAATAGAGATGGGGGCTGAAAAGTCGAATTCTTAATCATTTGATTTTATGTGAAGTCACAAATTAGTCATGAGAGTAACGGATGTGCTTGACGGAGAATGAGCAGTGCAAGAGCAGAGGGAAGAAGGTGCTAGAAACAGACTGTTGGGTGTGCCATCCGAGGTTTGGGAGGTGGGCACAAGGAACGGGTGGAGAGAGGTTAAGAGTGGGTGTGAGAGAGGACGTTTGTCCTGACCCTGTTAGAACATGGAGTCATCTGGCAAATTGGCAATTAAATGAATACTGTACATAAGTGTGCTGAAAGATTGGAGGTGAGGACTTTCTTAGTGGGAGTTTATGCCATTATCTAACAATGACATTTGCTTCCAAAAAAAGTTAAATGGCATTTTGTCTAAATTGAGGTTTTTAGACAAGCGCTATCCAATATTTCTTAGTCCAATAGAAATATAATGTGAGCTACATATGTAATTTAAATTTCTAGTAGCCATATAATAAAGATTTTAAAAATCAGGTAAAATGTATCTTAATGACATATTTGTCTTAACCCAATATATCCAAAGCAGTATCATTTCAACACGTCAGTATAAAAGATTGTTGATTATATTTTGTACAATAAAAAATACATGTGCGGGGGGACCCAAAAAAACCCAAAACTTACTTATAAAAAATTGTGTATTTAGTCTTACAAGTTTAAACTTCAGTCACCTTCAAAGTACTCTCCATTTGATGCAATACACCTATCGAGACATTTTTTTCATTGCTCAAAACAGTTTTTGAATTCTTCAATTTTGATGCCTTTTAATGCTTCTGCCTTTTTTTGTTTCACCTCTTTCACATTGACAAAATCTTTCCCTTTGAGGAGGTTTTTCATCTGGGGAAACCAGAAAGTCGCTCGGGATGAGATCAGATAAATAGGGAGGGTAGAGCACAGGGATCATGCTGTTTTTGGTCAAAAATTGCTGAACACTCAGTGTAATGTAGTCAGGTACACTCATAAATCACCTATCATGAAATGGGCAAACTCTTTCTTGAAAGAGTTTTAAAAAAAAATTCACTGAAGCTGAACACAGCCTCTTAACACCTCTAGCTGGTACACTGATGCACATGGGTTCCTAGAACACTAACCTAGTGGGGGAAGCCTGTACTACAAGGGGCCTGCCCTCCAGAAGATAATTCTGGGGTTTTTTGGGTTGCCCCCTTGTAGTAACTTGGAGCCCATCTCAATTCCATTTGGCCATATTTCCAGTGCTCAAGTAACCACATGTGGCTAGAGGCTAGCCATATTTGCAGTTCTAGACGATTGAGTCTGTATAAACTTGTTTCTTAGGCATGTGTGTGTGCATGCGTGCACCAAAGCAGTGAGCATCTGAGCTGCCTAACCTCAGAAATCAGTATGCCCTGAACTATTTCCTTGCTTATCAGCTGAAGGAGCTGTCTTTAACCCCACTAGCACACAAGGATTTCTTCAGATCCCATGTATGCTGGATTCCAGAGCAGATGCAGTGGGCTTAGTCCTTTAGAGCCTTTTCTAACATAGAACTCAACCCTTGAAGTTTCCCTGAAAGCAGGCCTAGTCTCGGAGAGACTGAGTTCCTGGTTGGTTATTGTTTTGTTAGTTGAGTTTGTAGGCAGACAGTTGTCCCAGTTTGTCCTGAAGCATCTTCCTTAGTAAGTCACCTGGGTAATTCAGTTGAGTAAACGTTCAGAGGTCTTGGGTAGTCTGCATGGTAATTTCTTAGTGCACACTGTAATTTTACACACGTAGGCCATAATTTTCTGAAGGAGCACCCTTTGAGCCTATTGTAGTTATTTGTAATATCTAAAGCAAAAAAGGCAGTCTTGGGCCTTCGCTTCAGAGGAGCTGAGAAATATTTCAGAATCTGCAACCTGCCCTTCCCCATTGCTCCCTGATAACTCATTTCACTGCCTAGTTCGCAGCACATAGTTCAGATTGATGCCAAGCGCCAGCCTAAGTAGTTGCTGTCTTCTGACCAATACAACTTTCCTAGATGCAGGAGAGGGGATTGGGCTGCTGTTCCAAGTACACGGTTTCCTTGGACAGCAGGGAACTAAATCACTGTCTTCCCAGTAACCTCAGGGGAAGCAGAGTTGGTTATTGATTCCAACGGGAGAATGTGGGAATTAGAGGGAGACTGAAATTCAGGAATAAAATAAAAGGTTAGAATCACACTCTTGCTTTTAAATTAAAAATCCTGACCGTCGTAGAAAATCCTGGGTTGTCTGTAAGAGGAGTACAAGGCCTTCTACCCCAACTTTTGTACAAATTTTTTGTATTTCTCAAGGCAGGTAGGTGAGGGTTGGAAACTGGACTTAAGGAATCAGAAATGTGTTTAAATCCTGGCTCAAGTGGCTATAACTGAGTGTAAGCTTTACCCCTCCTCTCTGTAAATTGAGATAATATTAGTGGTTCAGTCTGACAACGCAAAACGTTCTTTCTAGTGTATGCAAGATAGATACTGTGTCTATCAAAAGGAATTAAGGTAGGCAGACTAGGAGGGGCAGGGAGACTTTTCAGTGTGACCAGGGGGCTCAGGCGCTTTTCTTTGCTGCCTGCTATCGTCAGTGGCTTCCTCACTGTCCAGAGGGGCTTCTTGACTCCTTGCCGTGATCTTTTGTGTCCAGGCCAGCAGAACTGAGGAAGGCATACGAAAAGCCTGGCCAGCAACATTGAGAAAACTTCTTGGAAGTCCACACAGTTCTGCTTAATCTCCATGACCAAAACTTAATCTTGTGGCCATATCTCAAAAGAAGCAGGGAAATGAAATAAACCTTAATTGCAGGCCATCATGTGCTCAGCTGAGAAATGAGGTGCTTTATTCTGAAAGAAAGAACAAATGTTAAGTCTTGTTTCATAAAAATAATCACCTCGTTAGGGTTGTTCTGAGGAATAAATGAAAATACATGAAAAATACTGTATGAAAAAAACACTAGCCCAGGGCCTGGATATATACAAGATGTTAATAATTGGTAATTGTTATTTTACAATTAAAGCTCAGCCATGTTGCCTCCATGGGGCCTTTATTAATCGTTTTTTCAAGTATTCTTTCCTTTCTTTGAATTCCATAGTATTTTATTCTCATTTTCTTTTATGGCATTTCTCATTCCTATCTTTATGTATGTCTTAAGCTCTGTCGATAAGATGCTTTTTATGGTAAGAAAGTTTGTCTCAAAGTGATACAAGGAATTATTGGCTCACCAAAAAAAAAAAAAAAATGCAGTGGTAGGACAAAGTTCAGCTACAGTTTGATTAGGGCACTGTTTCCCTTTCTCTTGTTCTCTCAGCTCCGCCATCTCCATGTGTCAGCTCTCTTCTAAGGCTGCCCTCCTTCGTGGATGAAAGCAGCCCCTGACAGATTTCCTTCCTCGTATCATTAAAGAGCCTAGCTTTACTCTGACCTGAATGTCCTGAACTAATCATAGCAGGCAGGGGAAAACCACACGTTGAGTGCCCACCTGAGGTAGCAATAGCAGCAGCCATGAGAAGTCTATTCTGGAGCTGGAGGCAAGATCCGTCCTGTTAAGACCACATTGCTGCTCTACATAGGGTATTTTTCCAAAGCAAAATCAGGGGCAGCCAACCCATGGAAGCCCACTCTACATGGCTACTAAGCCTAAACATGTGGGAATCAGATTTGTTTTCTTTTTCTCCACAGCATCTAGCACAGTGTGTTAAGTATGCGGTGAATTCAGGGATAAGGTTGACATAGACAGCTGGCTGGCGGAGGAAGCATTCTCCAGTGTAATCCATCGGTCAGTAAATAGAATGGTTGTCAGATCCTTTCTCTATCTTGGTGGCAGAAAGAGGTGGGTGGGGGGCAGGGGCAGGAGGGGGGCTGGGGGCGTGGCACAAAGAGCAGGAGAAAAGAGTCAACACAGAAGGGACCCAGCAGGGAGTAACCTGGCTCAGAGGAGCTTCCCCTGAATGAACACAGAAGCTGATTCCCCAGAAAAACAAATTCAGGGAGATCTCTACTTTGGGTCCACCCACTGCTCCTGTGGTCTGCCTAGTACTGGTGGGATTTTGTTGTTTTGAACATTACGAGTTTAGATATAATGGAGCCTTGTTCCCAACCATGTGTTGATTCTGAGCTGCCCTTTTAGCTGCTTTTCACAGAAAAGGTCTTCTGTCACTCTAGGGGAGGGAGTGTCCTGGGGTTTCTTATCTTTCCACTGCCCTGGAGTTGTTGCTACCAGAGCTTTTACTCTGCTAGACCTCGGGTGAAAACCCGGCCCTCTTGCTGTGTCTCTCATTACTTCCTGCTGCACAGGCCCTCTTCTGATTTCTCAGGTGCCAGGACATCTTGGTCAGCAGATTCTCATTGTTAGGGAGGCATTTACTTCACTCTAGCAGGAAGTACTAAATTAATTTCATTATCCAAGCCAAATTCAGCTTCCCTGAATCACCCAACCCCCATCCCAACTACTGGGCAGGAAATTCGATGCGTCCTAATTGCAGCCCTCAACTTCCTCCATGATCATGAGGCCTGGGGGCTTAAGCCACTGCGAAAACCTCTACCTTTCCTCACCTTTTAAGACTCAACCATTGTAATGGATTGTTATCCCCACTGAGATAACACCACATACCACCTAACCAGCAAATTCAAAAATCTTATATCTTTCAGCCTTAGGTACTGCTAAAGCACTTTCTTCTGGCTCTTCTCCCACATCTGTACCTTCTCTCCCATCGGTGGCATGGAGTCAGGTGCCCTTTAAATCTCACTATACCCAGGGCTCTGCCCTCTCCCTGAACACCAGAGCTCCTGGGGTGACCCCTCCCGTAAGTGTGTCTCCAGCCCTGGACTCTGTCCTTCCTGAGCCCTGGGCTTGAATCTCCTGTAGACATCCTGAACTGAGCTTCACAGTGCCTCCCTAAGCCTGAGCCCCCGCCTCCCTGCATCTACCCTGTCACCCAGTCTGACAGCTGCAAGTCATCCTGAGCTGGTCCTTATCGGTCGCCCCTTGTCGCTGAATTCCATCACCTCTGCACCATCTGGGCCTCTGTCTGGGTTGCTCCTCAGCAGGACTCCTGCTTGGCCTCTGGTGGCCAGTGCTGCCTGCAGCCTCCCCACCGCCCACCCCGCCTCTCCTCAGTGCTGCCAGGGGTGTCAGACACAAGGCTGACATGGCCACTGTCCTGGCGGGCTCCCCAGAATCTTCCTGCGCTGCAACCTGACTCACTCCCCTCACGCCCCGTACCCACTCCTCATCCCCACACAACCACAGCCTGTGCTCCAGTCTCATCAAAGTTCCTGCTTCTAGGATTTACTGAGCCTTTTGCACTCCAGCCCTTTGCACGTGAGTGCTGCCCTCCCTTCCCTACCTTCTCCTCCAAGACCTCTGGAATCCCAGGGAGGGGAAGCTCTCACCTTTGCTGGAAGCCCTCAGCCTCAACCTTTGCTGGAAGGCCCCTTCTCCAGCACTCTGCAGCGCAGAGGGGCGATCTGACTGCAGACCCATCTCCTTCATGTGCTCGGTGCTCCTCAGGCCCGGGGGCTG